ATTCTTACCTCCCTACAAACATCCGGAAATGGAAAATCGTTATCACACATTGATTTAACGATTCGTTAATGTAGCAGAGTGCTTTTAGTACAGTTCAATACATAAAAATCCAAAACAGCATTTGCTAATATTGATTTGCAAAGGTCCATGTGATGTATGGCAACTGATTTTAGACAGCCATATCTTTCACCACGAGTACTTTCTGGGCATAAATACAGTGTTTTTATTAAAACAATGTTTTCTTTTGAGTGAAGTCCCCATGATGATAAAAATATCAATCAAACAATTAGAAAAATTATGAATAAGGACCCCATGTCAACATTTTTTCCAAAACAGAATCCTCTTTTCTGATTTTTATTAAACGAAAAATTTGCTTAACAAGGGGCTTAAACGTCTTTAAAAGAAAAATTGTTTGAAGGTCTAGTTTTGAAGATATCATTTTTCGATGATCAAAATTATGCTGAAAAATGGATAGCATGAATTTTCCCTATTGGAAAATAACATGTGCTATGTGTTTTTAACTTTAGCGCATTTTAAACACCGTCCCCTTTTCAGGAATTGTTAATATATTGTAGAAGAAACTTTTGATTTGTTTAAATTGAGAAGAACAAGATCCTCTTTTGGAAAATAAGCCTGACATTTTTTAAAAAGTGCCAAGGTGGGGTCTTACTCCATAATTTTTAGAGAGTTTGATTGATATATTACTATCTTTTGGACTTCACTTGAAAGAAAACGTATTGTATTAATAAAAAACACTGTATTAGTGGCCAGAAAGTACTCATGGTGAAAGATATGACCGTCCAAAATCACTTGGCCTCACATGGCCCTTTACCGCTTACCACAGTCAACCTCACTGTTGACATTCACACCATATCTTTCTTAAAGAAAATAACCTATTCCTGCAATGGGGATATTATAAATGTGAGTGCCATTCAATTAAGTTTGAAGGCCAATAACGTAGAGTTGTAGGGTTATTTTATTTAGGGTTAGTTCCTGTCCGCTGTGGGGGATCTGAATGTCATGTTTGAATCTGATCCCTCAAAACAGACAATCCCCATAGCAGATTGAAAATTTTAACATCTTTAAAATTAAATGGACTACAAAATTCTAGTTCTGATGAAAACTTTCAAAGCTATGATTAAAACACGTGTAAATGTCAATAGTATCAAGTCACTATATTGTGACATTAAAATGTACATTTAAGAGTAGGCCTATTATGTTAAAAGTTTTTAGTCCTGACGTTATTGTACTTCAAACAGATGCAGAGGTTACTCCAAAATACAATATCCGAGATGCGAGTAGAAATTATCTTGATTTACGTCATTAAAAATTCACAATTCAGTCAAACTGGTGTTATATTTGGAATCTACATATAAAATTACATCTAAAAATGTAGTTTTGAAAAGAGTTTATCAGCATTGAAATTTTTTCTTTGAAATGTGACTTCTAGGTCGGGGAGATTCTCCATAGACCCCATGTTGTAAAACTACAAAAAGTGAAACATATTTTCTTGTGTTGGGCAGATATTTTTTTTACTGGACATATTTTAATTTGTATAACTATCACATACATAAGGGTAATTTGAAAAGTGAACCACTAAAACTGATGCATATTCAAGTTTAAGGAATTTTTTAATACCCTGCTATGTTATTTCCCCCGAATAAATATATATGGCAATGAATTGTTTCTCAATTATTGAGTCTCTCAAGTATTGAAGATAATAGATGACTAACAAAAAGTTACAATCGATGGGAAAATGTTTCATTTTTTTCACTCAACACAAGGGTTTCCTGAACTTGAGTCAGTCTGAGCTGTATTTGACAATCATTCATGGCTTAAATGGCAGGTTTTGAGACATATTGTCACTTATTGTGCAAGTTTTGAAACAGTGGGGGTCAGTTAAGTTATATTGTTACCACTTTGCCGGGCCAGTTCTAGGGGTTTTAGTTCTAGTTTAGAAGGCATTCATTTTACTATATCGACTTGAGAAATTTGTGACGTCATAGTGGTGGTCCATATGGACCGGTCTAGAATATATTCTGGACCGGCAATTTTTTCCCGGGAAATAAGACATCGTTCAGTGCGTAAGATTTTCTTGCTATTTCAGCCCTGGTCGTTAATGGTGGTAATTATACTAATAACGTCATTTCTGCGAGCAATATAGTGAAATATTGGACCTTGGGCCTTCGGTCCAATATTTCACTATATTGCCCTTAGAAATGATGTTATTGTGCTATTAATCAAGGTAGACATGTCCTGCTTCTCCTAGAGATAACTATATATAATTTTTAATTGATGGAAATTGTATTAAGACCATTTGAAGGGTAGATATTGTATGGTATGAGATACTGTATTTTCAGCATCACTGCGCTGTGATGTCTCAAGCAGAGGAAATTTGGAAATTGTTCATGGTGCTCGCAGTATACAGATCATGACCATGACAAGCCAAAATTAATCATACATAAATACTTTAATCTTTAGCATTTTCACAAAAAATCATTTTACCCATATCTGAATTTGTGTAGATTGAACTGCAAAAATAAAAATAATAGAATAAATAGAAAAAATTTCCAGTTTTTATTGGCCCACCCTATACAAGATACATCAGAATGTTTGGTATGAAAATAACGAAAAATAAAAATATATGATCGGTTAAGGACAATGCACCTTTTTTCCTTTACAGAGGATATATTCCTTATGTGTCTGATAATAAATAATTATACAAAAATATGTCCAGTAAAAGAAAGTAGTAGTTATCCAACACAAGAAAGGAGATTTTTTGTTATTTTGTGACATTGGGTCTATAAGAAGATTAAATTTTCAAAATTAGTAAATACTTTTTTAAACACTTTCTAGATGCAGTTTTACATGTAGACATCATACGAGGGGTGATCAATAAGTAATGGACGCTTTTTTTACACAGATACTTTTTATAGACCAATCCCTTTGATTTTCCTACCAGTGATACATCGTTCAATTATCTATCAATTCTGAAAATTGGAAGACAAAATATATAACACATGTTGATATATCCTTATTTCCGTGAAGGAGGTACAGGTACCCCGGGACCGACATTTACGTCACATATTCAGTTTTTAGCCCGTTTGGTATATTTCAGTTAGATTTGAACTTTTTATATGCAACAAGTGTTGTGTTGTTTGAAATTTTTTGCTGACTGGTAACACATAAACAGAGAGTATTGTGATGTCAGAATGTTGTATGGAAGGGGTTTGCAGGTCAATTTGAGAAAGCATTGAGGAAAAAAGGGGTGGTGAGAGAAGGGAACGACCCTACTCCATATGGACAATGCACCTGCCCACAGATCTCAAAATGTTCAGAAAACAATATCCCTGGACCTCAAAATTGAGCCCTTGGCCAATGCACCATATTTTCCAGATCTGCTCACATGTGACTTGTTCATTTCTATACGACTTATTTCTATCGAGAAAGGACGCAGGTTTATTGACATTGATGAAATAAAACAACCCGTGCAACTGCATCTTGCTAACATGTCAGAGAATGGATTCAGCCTTGTCTCACAATCTTGAGTTAAGAGGATGAGGAATTGTGTACTTGTAGCATTTGATGGAACCTATTTAGAGGGCCTTGTGGAATGAATGTGGCATGAATACCACATAGTGATGATAAAATATTCAAAATCAACTATGGCATAACAAAATGGGGTAATTCATGACCATAATGGTTTGTTTTGTTCAGCCTGCATTCAACTGCATGGCATGTTAAACAAGCTAAAATAGCTTCAGAATATGTGACGTAAATGTCGGTCCCGGGGTACCTGTACCTCCTTCACGGAAATAAGGATATATCAACATGTATCATATATTTTGTCTTCAAATCTTCAGAGTTGATAGATAGTTGAATGATGTATCACTGGTAGGTAAATCGAAGGGATTGGTCTATATAAAGCATCTGTGTAAAAAAGCGTCCATTACTTATTGATCACCCCTCGTATATGATATTTAACTAAAATTTTGAATATTAAATGAAGTAAATCAAGATTATTTCTACTCGCATCTTGTATGCTGCTAAATCAACAATGTTTGGTTGGAAGGTAGTTCTAATCTAACATTCAAGTTAGTCAAAACCGTTTTACTACATGCACTTCCTAAAAGTATCTGGAGATTACATTCTTTTGAAAGATCAAAAACCACGAGACAAATTATCTCATATTGACAGAGAGTAATCTGAATAACCAGTGATAATCGGGGTAGCATCCCATGAGATATAAAACTACAAGGCTGACATCTATTCAAAGTGACTTTTACATTAGAGAACAATTTTCATTTTATTGATGTCTGTGAGATGGAATGCATTGAAGATCTCGTTATTATTTGTTGGAAAAATGAAAGAAAAATTAACAACTATTCTTGGGATGATTTGTTTTAGTATAGTAAATGAAAGTACCTTCTTTTTGCAAAAATACTTTCCTTTTGGGTGTGTAATTAATGGATAACTCCACTTTTCTCTGAGTTATTGCGATGGCTTTGGGGATGAGTTTGATTGATACTCTTATAGACTTTGACATTGGATCTTGTCTGTCCCGAATCATTTGAGACTAAATGGTTTATCTTGCATGACTATCAGTATCAACAACTATGATTGATGCTATGAGTATTGGCTACAGACTTTAAATCTATTCTTCAACCTGTGTTGTAATGATGCATGATGGTCTCGGATTGTAATATTGGTACTTTGATGGTTCGGAATGGAGTGTTAGACGCTCTTTCTTTTCGCATTGGTTAATGTTTTTCGGACAGCTGAGGTTTTATTTCCTAATGACTGGTGTACTCGGTGATAATTTTGTTTTTGTTGCTGTTGTCTCAAGTTGTTATGAAGATGCATTGTTTGTAACACGTTTACTTGACCAGAGACTATGAGGATACTTTTCTGTTATCTTCAAACTTGAGCCATGATCAATCTTGTCTGTCCTTGCGGATTACTGCCAGTCAAAAACAGAACGGTACTTTTGATGTACCTACAACCTCTCCCAATGTCCCTAAATATCGTGGGCAAATCAGATAGAATGAATAGCCCAACTGAAATAATAATGATCATACAGGGAGGCACACCAACAACTGCTGCATATTTTGCTTCAACTGGCACAAGCTCTTTCTTCTTAGGAGGTTTATACACTTCAGATTCCAGCTTTGCTTTAATGATTTCGTTTATAAATAGTGGGCCATTTTTAGGTGCAACAAAGATATCTTGGGTAGTTGGTTGGGTAGTAAGCTCAGTAGTAGCATCATTCTGTGTAGTTGGTTGGGTTGTAGGCTCGCTATCGGTAGTCGCATTATTTTGTGTAGTTGGTTTGGTAGTAGGCAAAGTAGTCGTATAGTTCTGTGTAGTTGGTTGAGTAGTAGGCTCGGTAGTCCCATCATTTTGTGTAGTTGGTTGGGTATTAGGCTCGGTAGTCGCATCATTTTGTGTAGATGGTTGTGTAGTAGGCTCAGTGATCGCATAGCTTAGTGAAAGTGGATGTGTAGCTGGATGGGTAGTCAGCTCAGTTATTGCTACAGTAGTGTCTTGTGTTGTAGGAACGGTTGTTGGCCAAGGTGTCGCTACAGTTGTAGGAACAGGTGTAAGGTCAGTAGGAAAGGTTCTTGGCTCAGTAGTTGCTACTGTTATAAGGACAGTTGAAGGGTCAGTTGTAGTCACATAATTGTTTGTAGTTGGTTGGGTAGTGCGCTCAGTAGTCGCATCACTTTGTGTAGTTGATTTGGTATAGTCCGGATGTGAAGTGCCATATTTTAAGTGAAGGTGGAAATGCTTATTATATGAACTTTTTTTGCATTTTCTGTTTAAACATGATATCCATATTCAGAAACTGTCGGATGCCCAATGGGCACCCTTGAGGATTTTTTTTGGCGGCCATTTTGAATTTTCACACGTTTTATGTATTTTAGCCAGTATATTAGAACAGAAAACTAGCATACACATACACAAATCTTGCTGTTTTTCTATAATAGAGTTTTAATATGATGTATACCAATATGTTAGGTTCCAGAAATGTTTCTTGACAAAAATAAAAAAAATTCAAGATGGCCGCCAACCTTACAATTTATGAAATGTCTCATTCTGTGATAATATCAAATGGATATTAGTGTTTCCTACAAAATTATCAATAAATGGTTTCCAGCATGTGAAGCGAGCTCATTTCCAAGTAGCTATATGGAAAAATGCTGATATGCCTGACCCCCCACTTATCCTTCCAACAGATTATGGTTGGGAAATTAATAGCACGGGCTCACTTGTCCCAACAACAATGCCCAAGGATACACCCTGTGCCCCTGAAGGAATTCTCAAGCTCATTAAGTGCACATGTGCATCAGAGGGCAATGTATGTAGAACTGGGCAATGTTCATGCTCCAAGGCATCTTTATCATGTACATTGTTCTGTGTTTGCAAGGGGAATGAATGCAATAACCAACATACAAAGACAGTAACTGAACAGGAATTGGAAGAAACTGATGAGGATTTATTGAGGGAAATCCTTGATGAAATCTTAGTAAAAGAAGAGAATTCATAAATTCAAGATATATATAGCACCAAGAAATGACCCTTGTGGAACATCATTATAATTATGTAGGTTACTTTTTACTCATTTCAGATATTTTATATGTGAGAAAGAGATCATAATCAGATGTATTTAGTATTATTTATTGATAATTTTGTAGGAAACACTAATATCCATTTGATATTATCACAGAATGAGACATTTCATAAATTGTAAGGTTGGCGGCCATCTTGAATTTTTTTTATTTTTGTCAAGAAACATTTCTGGAACCTAACATATTGGTATACATCATATTAAAACTCTATTATAGAAAAAACAGCAAGATATGTTTATGTGTATGCTAGTTTTCTGTTCTAATATGCTGGCTAAAATACATAAAACGTGTGAAAATTCAAAATGGCCGCCAAAAAAATTCCTCAAGGATGCCCGATGGGCATCCGACAGTTTCTGAATATGGATATCATGTATAAACAGAAAATGCAAAAAAAGTTCATATAATAAGCATTTCCACCTCTACTGGCTCTACATCCAGACTAGTAGTAGGCTCAGTAGTAGCATCAGTCTGTGTAGTTGGTTGGGTAGTGCGCTCAGTAGTCGCATCACTTTGTGTAGTTGATTTCGTAGTAGGCTCAGTGGTAGCATCATTCTGTGTAGTTGGTTGGGTAGTAGGCTCGGTAGTCGCATCATTCTGTGTAGTTGGTTGGATAGTAGACTCGGTAGTCCCATCATTCTGTGTAGTTGGGGGCGTAGTAGGGTCTGAAATTACATCAGTTAATGATGTTTTTATAACGACTTAACATTTCATAAAGGATTCCATGTAAAGTATGAAAATATGTTTTTATCATTCATTTATTGACTATTTTCATGAATTCAAAGTTATTTCGGGGATTTTAAAAAAAGATTCTTTGTCAGAATTTTGTTTCTCAAATATTCAAATTTCCCGCGTTTATACAAATAAAAGTTTTAATTATCAAATATTCCTCTGAACAATGCACAACACATTATCCTCATAACACCTTTGTTATGATCGGACATACCTTTTTAATAGTAAAATGTATAGTAATAATATTAAACATGCCATTTTAAAGGTGCAACACTTAGTGCAGAGGGTCATTCAATGATTATCGACTAGTGTCAAAATATATTTAAGTTTGGATATTTCATCAAGACTAACACATATTTTCATTATCTACAAAGAAACCCCATGGATGGACATTATTTCAGCTGATATTCCCCTTGAAATGTGGTGGATCTTAAAGATATATAAGCTTTGAACTGAATTTACACTTCGTAATGCTGAAATAGTTTATACATACATTTTAAGAAAATAGGTATGTCAAATAAAGTTTTAAGCCAAATATTGACCTGATAGCTCAGATTTTTTTCGAATTTTCTCTCTACAGTCCTTGTTGCCCTTTTAATGTTTCAGCATATGGAAAATGCATCCTTAATGACATCATCTTGATGTTATTTAGGATGCACAATTCTTTTGAAAAAATGAAAAAGTGTCCATCATGTCAGTCTTTAGTAAATACGATAAGCTTTCGAAAAAGACCATTGTTTATTGTCTAACGAGGTTGAAAAGAAGAATACAGGGTGTCAAATAAGTTCCACCCCCCCCCCCTTCTACAGCTTAAACCAAGATATATTGTACCAAGTGTGATATATCATTGGAAAGGTCTTCCAAAGTTACGTTGATTGGCATATATCTGACATTTGTCAATCAGTCTCACAATTTTTTACATTGTATCAATTGAGGTGACCATAAGCCTAGAAACATGGGAATTTGGCGTATTTGGCAGAATTTTAAAAATCGGGTATAAGAAAAGTCAAAGGACCTAAGATGACTAAATATGTATATGGCAATGAATTTTACCAATCTCTGGATAGGGTTAGATGTGTAGAAAATAGAGGTGCCAGGAAAAATGGTGAAAACCTTTTTGTTACAAGTTGAATATGAAAAAGATTAACTTTTTGATGTATTTCTGAGGTCGTATCCTTCTCATTTTGACGTAATAAAAGCTGCTTAAGGAGGGTACACTTACTATTTAAAGGACATCATGAAAATATAGGTGGGTTTCATCCAAAATACTTCAGAGTTGGTGAGTTAACATAACTTTGGAGGATCTTTCCAATGGTATATCACACAGGTGCTATCTATTAAGGTTTTAGCCGTAGCAGGGGGACGAGACTTTCATTGACACCCTGTATATTGTGCTTTAAATTTTACTGTAGGATTGGTTTCTATGAGAACTAAAGTTTTAAAGTGCATTTTACTCTGAACAACTTTCATGCATGGATCATTTCATTTTCGCTTATTTATGAACACATGCGGATGAATACTTTGCACTGGTGTAAATCTTTGTAAGCTCTATAATTTACTATACTATATTACAAAAATTCCTTTAAAAGCTACAAGCACATTTTAAAATTAGATAAAATGTTTCACGAATCACATTTTGATAACAATGGGTAAGCAACCCGTGGTTTTAATATTTAAACACATGCAAACTGTAAGTGTAAACCTGTCCTATGAAAATATGCCTAACACCCCCTTCTCCCTCCAATCGAGACCCAATATCACAATCCAGAACCATAACCATAACACCAAGGGACATTTCATGAATTCTGAAGTCATTGCAATTCATGTTGAAGAAAAACTTGAAAAAATTATAACCAATACTCAGTAAAAATAGTTGTAGATACTATAGTACTCATAGATAAGTATATATTTAGTCTCATATGATATGTGATGGTGGGAATCCAGTCTCAAAGTTCATAGGAATTCAAAGGGCAAACATCCATTCGGAAAGCCGTCGCCACAATCTTAATTGATGACTGGGTCATATTTGCTCCGATTCATCGGCCGGCACCCTGCCGATTGAGTATTTTCTTCAAAATTCATGGTCAGATCGATGTGAACTCCTGAGAACTTGTACATGATATAAAAAGTCAATTTGAAGCAAGTTGAAATCATTTTTGAACAAAATACTCCAATAATTGGCCGGGCCTCTCTCGATGAATCGGAGCAAATGTGACCCAGCCATTATTAGGGACTTTATCAATTCCATCGTTCTTGATTTGCAAACACGACTATTTCGACAACAGTGTTTAACACTCATTTTATTCAGATACCATGTAAAATAAATCTTTCTTTTTATGATACTCTACAACATATTTGAAATTAAAGCACGTGTCTCATTAATGAAATGAGGATGATGTGAATTCTGGCTATCGCCCCCATTCATGTACATGTATTTTCATAAAAGTCATTCGTGATTAAAATCATCAACAATTCATTGAGCTCTGAGCTTAAATCCGTTATCGTTTATCTAGAAATTGAATGTTACCTGTAAGAGATCTCTCAGCATAGTACACAGTATTTGAAGTTTGGCATGGTGAGCTTATCGATTGTGTCCCAGAGTATTCCTCTGAGAGAAAACAATTCTCTCTCGATGGATTGAAATCAACGGACCGGCATACAAATGCTGTCTCTGATTCACACTTCCTTTTGCATTCTTTCATAGATTCGATATCGTATATTTTTTTGTTGTTGTATCCTGATATACATGCATCTGGTGTATCCACCCAACTTGATGAGGCATCTACACATATAAATACAAAATATTATTTACTCATATGCATACTATTTAATGAAGTCGATTTATATACAATTTATAAATATACTATGATGCTATTTAAAGATTTTCACTCAATTATGAAATTGATCGGTTTATCAGTTTCATTCTTATTCGGTCGTGTATCATCTATATTCGGTTTGTGCCGCATCATATCAATGTACACTACTTGACAAGCGGCCGTTTTAGATAAAAGTATTCGGTTTTGTTACGTGACCAGTGGCGTAGAAAAATATTTCGAAATGTATGAACCAGGCGGGGGAAAAGAATTTGAAGAAGATTATTATTCACACTCGAAAAGTTGGACGATGTTAACATGTATCCGGAATTTAATATTAAGTAAGGTAAAATCTCACGCTGCGAATGCCTTTGTTTCATGAAGAATATACAGATGGCTCAAGTCGCGTGACTAGAGCATTAGTCACGTGACTTTACCCCAGAATAAAACATGAATATTCGATTTGATGTTACATCCAATCATCAAGTTTTGTTACGTGACTATAAAGTCCACATAAATAAGTGTGTCGCAAACGGATGATGCGTGCTATCGCATGTAATTAAATTACGAAGCACCATATTGGTTGTGTAAGACAGTCTGCGATTGTATGTTAGATAATAGGTATAATTTGTTGTAACCATCGAGTTTATGGTACATTTTACTTAAACTCTGTGGTAAAACCGAAGATAGTGAAGATACGCCGACTATTGATGCACTATGTTATGATAGGGGACCACTATTTTACGTGTTTCACGTACACGTTTTTAAAAACAATGCTATTGTTACCTCCCTACTAACATTCGAAAATGGAAAATCGTTATCAAAAATTGATTTAACGATTCGTTAATGTGGCAGAGCCAGCTAATAAGAATGCTTTTAGTACAGTTCAATACATAAAAATCCAACACAGCATTTGCTAATATTGATTTTCAAAGGTCCATGTGATGTATGGCAACTGATTTTAGACAGCCATATCTTTCACCACGAGTACTTTCTGGGCATAAATACAATGTTTTCTCTTGAGTCAAGTCCCCATGATGATAAAAATATTAATCAACAGACTTGCCAACCTAAAATGAAAAATTTTCGGGAGTTTTAAAAAAACTTGCGGTACTTTTAGAGTACTTGCGAGTACTTAAAGATGAACCTTAACAACATGTACATGTAGCTTAACTAAATTGGTGCAGTTAGACTTTTCTTTTCTGCAACTTTAATCATTCCATACCTTCGGCTGTATCATCAAACATTATCAAACATTCAGATTGTACAGATTATCAGATATACATAGGCCTACATGCTTATCAGACATTCTTATTAGCTCATCATGTCATAGCCTAATATGTATAACTACATTTGGAATGTGTACACATGTACCATCATTGTACCTGTATATGATGTGATTGCTTTTGCCTGCATTGGAACAACTTTACCGCGCAAATAGTGTACATGTAACATTTTATATGTTATACTGTTGTAATCCGATCCTTTCAAAATGATGAACAAGGTATTGGTACTTTATTTGCTTGCATTCGACGCTCGCCAGAACTCGGATTCATCCATGTTGTCTTGCGCTGAAAGATAAATCACAGGAAGTTGTATTAAGTCCTTTTTGGGCCCTAACTGCCTTCTGCCCTCCCCCAATCTCACACAACAGACGAATCTATAAGGATGCCAACAAACATCTAGACCTGAAAAAAAAATGAAATCAAAAGAAAGTTTTTTACAAGATCCTCTTGTTCAAAAAGCCTCCAAACTCGCTCAATTTGGAGTAAAAATACTTCTCAATTGAAAAGAAACAAAAAAAGCACGAGCTGACAGATGCTTAATGACGATATAAGCCCTGCAAAACATCTAGCCATCAAAACTCGACGAAATGGAATGAAATGAAAAATTCAAATATTTACCGACTCTGTAGCTCCCTTCCTGCTGCAATGTTGCTTTTCAAATTTCGTCTTCTTTTTCCTTGTACGTATTTGACTAGAAATACTGTTATGATTTACCAATATATATTGAAAATAATGACGATTGATAGTTATTTAAAATTTGAATTTTTTGAGAAACTTTTCTTTCAGCGCCCATGACACGTTTACGGTTCTAACAATCTTTTGCGATTGGATTGGCCAGCCTAAAAGTAGGTCATGAACATTTTTACAATTAAACCTTATTTGAGCATTGAATAACATAAATCAAACCAAGGTAATTCTTAAATGTAATTTTAGGAGACAGAAATTATTATTTTATTAATATATTACTTGTTTAATTTGATCATGAAATTTTTTTGGGGTGTCCATCGGCCATATTTGCATTTCCGAAAAGTTTGAAAAATAAAGTCTAGAAAGATTTGAGATTTTAAAGGTATGTACGCTAAATCAGCTAAGTATTTGCAAAAATATACAAAGCTTATAGTATAAGGTTTATCAGATTTAACATTTTTTGTAGTACCTTGTGTCATTGAAGAGTTACAGAGTCGGTAAATATTTGAATTTTTCATTTCATTCCATTTCGTCGAGTTTTGATGGCTAGATGTTTTGCAGGGCTTATATTGTCATTAAGCATCTGTCAGCTCGTGCTTTTTTTGTTTCTTTTCAATTGAGAAGTATTTTTACTCCAAATTGAGCGAGTTTGGAGGCTTTTTGAACAAGAGGATCTTGTAAAAAACTTTCTTTTGATTTCATTTTTTTTTCAGGTCTAGATATTTGTTGGCATCCTTATAGATTCGTCTGTTGTGTGAGATTGGGGGAGGGCAGAAGGCCGTTAGGGCCCAAAAAGGACTTAATACAACTTCCTGTGAGATAAATGACCAGTGTAGCGCTTTATGAACAATATGGTTATTCTTTTTAACTCTTACATCAATAATCATGTATATCGTGTAAAACGATATCGGTCGTATGTGACCAGAACGGTGGAAATAAGATCATTAAATGTAGACACTATCACAGAAAGAATAGTTGCCTCGTTGCAAGTCAAACATTGCCTCGTTTCATTGTTACAAAATGTAGACAGGTGCCTCGTTTCCTAAGTGAGAGAATTGACATGTAAATATCTCAGCAATGTCTGTATTGATTTCTAATTTGCAATCATATTATAAAACCGGAACTTATAAACTATTTACTTGCCAAATATTAAGTTTTAATTTGAAGAATAAAAGCACGAAAATTGTAAAAAACAAAAATCTTACCGAATGAAATTTTTTCACGCGCCGCCATTTTGATACGAGGCAAAACCTCCCTCGTTTCCAGTTCATCCCCAGTGATATTGTTTCAATAGATTGTAATATTCCATATTGTAGCCTATTATTATTGGTGCCCATTTTTTTCATTTTCAAAGGATACCACCAGTTTTTATAGATATTATTTATTTATTTTTTTATTTATTCCTCCTAACCACTTTTCTCCTACTTCTAGCTAGGTCTGAGATAACTCTTATATGCTTCTACTAAGGACCTGAGCTGCACTTGGCAGGGAAGGAATTTTTATCTAGGTCAAGGTCAAAGGCCAAATCTAGGTCAAATCAGAGTTTTTTTAAGTTTCTCAGATTTCGTCTTAATATTTCATGATTATTTCTTGCAATGAATTAAAATGTAACTAGATAAGCATTCTCTACAAATTGCTTACTATATGTTTGCGTTAAATTTTTACCGTTTTTGAGATAATTGACGTAAAAAAAATTGGTCATATTGCTTCAAATTGACCAATTTATTTTTAAAAATCATCTACAAGTCCCCGGGAACTCAAATCTGATCTTTCTTTTGACCTTCTGGGTTCAAATTTAGGTTTATTTAATCACAAAAAGACCCACTGATGTCTAAGAAAGTCAAAGGATAAGTATCGATATGGTGAACTGAATTCAACAATGTTTTTCTCTTAAACCATTTATAGGAAACACTCTGTAAAAAACACGGTCCTTTATGTAATGTTGACTGATTGGCAACAATTTAATGCAAAAATAATGTATATATATTTTATATAACTGTTTTTGTTAACATTTTTTTATGTAATTGTTTTTTTGTTCCTTTTTACGAATTCTTGAGAATGAAATAAAATGTCTTTCCGAACCTTGTTGGAACAAAATAGCATAAACAACATTTTCTTAGACCTCTCAATATTATAGTTATACAAAGAAAATTTGGGTTGATTTAACAAAAAGTATCCAAAAACTTAAAACAAAACCCCTAAAATAGATAAAAATTAAGATAAACCTTTCATTTCATTAACAAGATACTTATTTAAAATCAACCAAACTTTCCTTTGTACAATTGCAATATTGAGAGAGCTAAACACGTTGTGTTTATATGTCGTTTTGTTCCAATGAGGTTCGGATAGATATTTCATTTCATTCCGAATATATGATACCAAGAACGAAAAAAGTGTCTGATGTGTTTTTCTAAAACAATATAGAGAAAAGTCCATATATATAATTCAAATTGTAATGTTACCATCCAAAATATGACCATTAAATGGACGATGTGTAAAATTTTCAGAATGTTTTGATGACTGGTTTAAGAGAAACGCGTGTTCAAAAAGTTCATCATATCGATACCACTCCTTTGCAAGGTCAAATGTTAAGGTCATCAAACTAAATCACAAACTGTGTTTTCTTAGTTTATCAAAGTTGATGATTACAAATCAATATTTTTTGATGAAAGACAGAATATATATTCCACTAAAGGTTTTACACATATAAGCTATTGACTATCCATTAAAATTGTGCGACAGTTTTGAGATATTAGAAATCAAAAACTGAAAAAAGGTCAAATTTCGAAACTTTTCAAGACTAAATTTCAACTTGCTTCAAATTGACCAAACATTTTTTAAGATCATCAAAACTATTCGAACGACCCTTGTATTTAGGAGTACATATACGCAATAAAATGTGACCTATGTTCATTAGTAGTAGAGGACAGTGATGCAGAGTCATTACGGTTAATGTAGGCTCAATTGATGTCTATGCAAATAAAAGCAATAATATACTTACATTTTGTGAATTGTGTTATATTTGGTCTATATTTAACGTGGCAGAGTAGTGCTCGATGATTTATTAATGATAAAACACATTATTAGTTAATACATAAATAAAGGGGGGGGGGCATTAAAAACTAGCTTTCGAATGATGCTGGTTTTTTGTGTCCCCAAGGGGACATTCAAAACTTCAAGGGGGACACTTAAAACTTGGAGTTAACTGTCCGACGGACAAGCATCCCTAGGGTTGGCTGTCCCACGGACACTGGCCACTGGGGACACTTAGATCTATTACACCGGGAATGGCGCATGGGAAAGACCATGTGACATCATGAATAGTGTGATTGGTAACCTGGAAAGACAGGTAAACCTTATGAGGGTCCAGGGAACTGGGCATGTAAGTCATGGCAGAGAAGCCATATATGTAGTGTTATGTGTAAAAGCCAGTTGGCTCCGTAGCTCAAGTGGTAGAGTATCCGAGATCTAATCGGTAGTTTGTGGGTTCAATTCTTACCGAGGTGGACTGACTTTTTCACATCAGCCCTTAGCATAGGAAATTATCCTATGTTTCAAAGAAACCAAAATGTATGATCCGTCATGGAATTTACCCATACTTTGCCAGAGCCTGCAGGCCCGTAGCCAGGATTTGCCAAGGGGGGGTTCAGTTTTCAAAAATTTCCAGGGGGGTTCACATTTGACAATTTAGGCCCAAATATGGTAAAAATCACTTGAAAAGTCCTCAAAATGGTGAAAAACTGCATGATTTTGAAAGAATTTTTGGCCAGGGGGGGGGGGTTCGCCCGAACCCTGCGAATTTCACAATTACTATACTATATAAGTTCCTTTGAACTTGAATATTATCAGTAAAGAAAAAATGTGCATGGTCCTTTATCAGACATTACATTTTCAAAATTTTGTATAATATTACTTACACTTCCCCCATTTGTTTGGCAACTTTAGCTCCCTCATTCAACATCGTGATTAAGCCTCCTCATGTTTGAATTTGTATTTACATAACCTGAGAGGAAAATACAAATTATTGATGGAAATTTGAAATCATTCCCAATGCCTCCAAATTTTCCCAAATTTTTTCGTCAATTACAATAGGTCAAAAATTGATAATAATGTGATGATCTTTTGAAAATCGACATTTCCACGTAAACCAATGGGAAATTGGAGGATTTGCCGCAAGTCTTATGACAGAATATTCATCCATCCGAGTTCTTGCAAAAATACAAGTTCAGTAGTCAATTGGATTTGCTAACTCCATTTAATAAAACTTTGATACGTTTCTTCAGTTTAAAAAAAGATATAGATCTTCTTCAAAGCCAAAGTTATTTTTAAAATAACTCCTCCAATTGAAATAACACAGGAGGCTGATATCTAGGCTGACATCTATTGAACGTGACTTTAATATTTTAGAGAACAATTTTCATTGTATTGATGTTTGTGAGGTGAAATGGAAGATTTGTCCGCTCCGCTATGGCATGCACGGGAATCCAGATATTATTTGTAAAAAATGAAGAAAACTTCACAATTATTTCCCTTTTTGAAAAATTACATTTCTTTTGGTGTTTAACTAGTGGATAACTCCACTTTGCTCTGAGTTATTGTGATGGCTTTGTGGATGAGTTTTGACCCATTGATATGCTTGTAGACTTTGAGATTGGATCTTGTCTGTCCCACATCATTTGAGACTGAATGGTTTGTTTTGTAAGAATATCAGTATCAACAACTATAATTGATGCTATTAACCTACATTCTAATGTTGCGTGATGGTGTCGGATTGTAATATTGGTACTTGGATGGTTCGGGATGGGGTATTAGACAGACGCCGTTTATTTTCGCATCGGTTAATGTTTTGGGACAGCTGGGGATTCCCTAATATTGACTAGTGTACTGACAGATACTTTTCTTTTTCTTGCTGCGTTCAAGTTGTATTGTATATGCATTGTTTGTAATACATTTACTTGACCAGAAACTATGAGGACATTTTTCTAATATCTTCCAAGTTTGAGTCATGCATGATCACTATTGTCTGTCCTTGCGGATACCTGACAGTGGGCAGATTTGGTTCAAATTTCATGTGCTTATACCTTTGGGCAAGGGGGTTCTGTTCAAGAAGAGATTTTCAAGATGGCCACTATTTATCAAACTGTGCTTTGTTCGGTGGGATTAGCTATTCCGTGGAGTTGCTGTTTTCTAGTTAATAACGTGTGCAGAAAGACTTTTGTCTGCATAATTTTACACAATAACCTCATTTTGGTCCGTTTGGTAATGGTAAGTAAGGTAAGGTAACAAAGTCACAAACTTGTAAAAAGTCTCATCGGTGTTTTTGGTATATATTATGTTCAATAATGTAATATTTTGAGTAAAGAAATATTCAATTGTCTTCGAATGTTCACATTGTGTGTAGTTTATACCTTAACTATGTGTAAAACGTTTTAATAAGTTTACAGACGTGTATCCATATAACTGAGCGTTTGTGAGCAGGTGAATATCATTATATCTTTTTTTTCCCATTATTCATGAATCATTTTCAACGTATTTACATATTAATAAAGTTGCATAAAAACTGCACGCAAAGTTTTTACAAAAATTCTTATTTTACATCATATATACATTCATGTTGAGCAGTAAGCTCTTATACCTCATATTATTATTATCACTTTACATGTTGTAATCAGGGAACGCTGGAAGCAATGAGACTCCGTTAACATATACAGCTTTGTGTACTTGTGGCAAAATTGTACTTAATACTGCTATTTTGTCGCTTGTGTCTTCATCAACGTCGCGGGGGTCACATCACTAAATCGCACATGATCGTGCCAGGGGATACAGCATCGCAGCCACATTGAAACAGTTAATGATTTACTATTGTTTTAAAAAAATCCCCGCATTTTTCACATTTATGATCGGTTTCTTTGTCTACTGGAAATGCTATTAGTTTCGCTAGCGTTTAACAATTCTTTAATAGATGCGGGTGTTTTTGACCAGATGTCCATATGAAATTGTTTCAAATTGATAGTTCGTCGTTGGCTAACCTTAGTGTGCTGGTACTGGCTTCAACTTGTATTTGAATGGTTTGGGGATTTTATTTTCTGTATGTTATTAAACTTTACAACAGTTTTACTTTCTCGAATATGCTTCGGTAGCTTTTTTTCCAATGGGAGAGAGCATTTAGGACAGAAGAGTTCCTAAATTCGACGGTAATTTGAGGTCAAGGTTGAATAAAGTTAAATCATTACAAATTGATTATAAATCTAATTAATTAAAATTTTAGTAGCTGCACAATTATGTCATGTTCATGCATTTATTGTTACACATCTCATTGCCAGAGACTATCAGGGTACTTTCCAGATTTTTTCAAGTGTGTCAGCCATGATCACTTATATTTGTCCTTACGGAGAACTGCCAGTAAAAAACAGAACGGTACTTTTGATGTAACTACAACCTCTCTTAATGTCCCTAGACATTGTGGGCAAATCAGATAGAACTAATAGGACAACGGCAATAATAATGACCATGCATGGAGGTACACCAACAGCCGCTGCATATTTTGCTTCTACTGGTTCAAGCTCTCTTTTCTTGGGACGTCTATACACTTCAGACTCGAGATTTGCTTTTATGATTTCGTTTATAAATATTTCGCGATCGTTAGGTGCAGTTGTCTGTAGTGTCGTAGCGTCTTGTGTAGTTTGGTCGGTAGTCACTTTATCTTGTGTAGTTGAATGTGTTGTAGACTTAGTAGTAACTTCATCTGGTGCAGTTGGTAGGGAAGTAGGCTCAGTAGTCATATTCTGTGTAGTTGAGTGTTTAGTAGGCTCAGTGCTCACAACATTTTGTGTAGTTGAGTGTGTAGTAGGCTCAGTGCTCACAACAGTTTGTGTAGTTGGGTGTGTAGTAGGCTCAGAAGTCACAACAGTTTGTGTAGTTGGATGTGTAGAAGGCTCAGTAGTCACAACAGTTTGTGTAGTTGGGTGTGTAGAAGGCTCAGTAGTCATAACAGTTTGTGTAGTTGGGTTTGTAGTAGGCTCAGTAGTCATAACAGTTTGTGTAGTTGGGTGTGTAGTAGGCTCAGAAGTCACAACAGTTTGTGTAGTTGGGTGTGTAGAAGGCTCAGTAGTCACAACAGTTTGTGTAGTTGGGATTGTAGTAGGCTCAGTAGTTGGATGTGTAGTAGGTTCTGAAATTACATCAGTTGATTGCGTCCATTTTGTGATTACTACTTAACATGTCATTAACAATTTCATCGTGAATGATATTACCGACTACTGAAATTTACTCAGATACCATTTCAAATAATTTTTATTTTAGGCCTAATGAAAGAAATTAGATCTGAGAGTATGCTACCCAATTCATTTGGCATTTCTATTTCAATTTGAGTTTATGTATTGTTTTCCATCGCCCTATCTGTATATCTTGGAGACGACTGTTAATAAATAATATCACACATATATCTAAAAAAGTTTGCTAACACCCCAGTCACATTTGTCGCACGGCGGCCGCAAGTCGACCGCAGAACAATTAAATCGGTGAATTTCTGCGGCGAGCGTAGAAAAACTACGCTCGCCTTGCGGCCTCCGTACGGCGTATGCAGATTTTTACAGGCCACAGGGAAGGCGTAGAAATTATAACTCGGAGTTATAATATTTGTTCATTTCTGAGGTCCCCATAGAAATCAACTTGCCCAACAAGATTGAATCATTATTTGTCAATGTTTCACGATCACTTTTCATTTGATATTACATCCTAGCACTTTGAATAACATTTATGAATTGTCTTGATGTTAATAAAATGAAAAAAACTATTATTTATCAATATAAATTTAAAATTCACCGTGCGACTGCCGTGGGAAATGTGACTGCAAAAGTATGAGAGCGCAGAAATTCTGCGGCGAGCGTAGAAAAGCTACTGGCAGTAGAAATGATAGACCGCAAGGTCGCCGTAGGAAATGTGACTGGGGTGTAAAGGTCCAATGTACAGTTTAAATCACACGTAGTCTGAAACGGTACGGTAGATGTTAAAATAGGTTAGCTTAAATCCTTTAATCATATATCTATAGTACAATTAAAGTAACCTGTAAGGGATCTCTCGGCATAGTCAACACCTGAAGATGGGCATGGGCTGCTTATCGACTGGGTCCCCGAGAACTCTACTGAGAGATAACACCTCCTGGTGGATGACTTGTAATCAACGGACATGCATAAAAATGATGTTTCTTCTTCACACTGTTTTTTGCATGTTGCCATATTATTGATAGAGTCTACTATATCGGTGTTGAATCCTGATAGACAGGCACCTGGCGTATCCTCCCAAGTTGATGATGAGGCATCTGCACATAATAAATAATAAAATATATACAGATATTATTTACTTTTTAACAACATATTTACACGTCGCACGAAACTGGGGACAATAAGAGTAACATTATGGCGTCAAAATACCAAAACAATACAATGGGCAGTATAGGGCGCAATCAGCATTATAACGTCAAAAACGACAAGCGTTACATTTTGTCAAGTTTAGTCAACATAAAAATAAGATGCTTTATTCTTATTCAATCCTGGTAAAATTAACAGAGTAACAAGATCTCGAGGACAATATTTCTAAAATGTTTTTGATTTTTGAAAAACGGTCAGGAAGTCCACTCGGGGCGTTAGTAAAAATTGATGTGTATGGGATTTGTGGTAAATAATCGATGCGTTACATTTTTTCAAGTCTCTAAAAGCAACTCTTATTCTATTATTATTTGAAAAATAAAGAAATCGGTTATTGTTTTGTAAATTTCGCCATGACAATATTGTGCAGTTAAATTTTTTTTGAAATCAGACCTAAATTAGAAGGTTAAATAAAGGTAAACTTATTGCTAGTCTCCTTCGCCTTCAAAACCTTACACAATTTTGAAAATCTTAAAAGCGTTCATATAAGACGAATTGAACTGTAGCCGCTAGGCAATTGTGACGTCATAAAAGCACATGTTTCAATGAATAAAATGTGAAATTTTAGTAAAATTCTGATCAGTATTACAAAAGTTATCCCGATTTCAACGAACCGAGCAAGCGTGAAATGTTACGTCTTACAGCGTATTTGACGATGTCGGAGTACATTTAACTTCAAAATTATGGTAGATCCTATCACACTTTCTATTGAAAAATAATTTCAGTGAAATGCGAATAAAAAATACTTCAAAATGATATATAATGCACATAGTTAGCTTTTTAAATAAGGCAGATATTAACGCTTAAAGCTGAGATTACCCCGTATTTCCCGAATTGTCCCCAGGTCCGTGCACGTCATAATTATTATTATATTAGCCTATTATTGACTTTTGAACAACACATTACTTACACATATATGGAATCTATTTAATTACATTAGTGTTATGCTAGAAAATTCAACAGATCTGCAAAAGTTATTTTTCATGAGAAAGTTAGTAAAGTTAGTTAGTAAACACAGGGTACGTACTAATTTAAGCGTGATAGATGAACGCGCGGGGTATGGAACAACACGAGGGTAACGAAATGTGAGCAAACAGATGTATTCATCGTTTCAGAAAGATGTGGTCTAGTTTCTAGATATTTTTATATGTAAATGTCTGTAACAACATCCTAGACAGTCAACTTGCAGGAAGATGGGGAGAAACGGTTTGATAGAACAGCTAGAAAAACAATCCTGTATATTAACGTTGGTAACAATCCTGTATATTAACGTTGGTGATAGGTTTGCGGCGGAGAATATGAAGAAGACATTCCATTTGAGATGTTGTTACGCGCAATAGACAGATGATCGTGTGTACGAAAGTCTGAAATTCTTGTTTGGAGTCTCCTTGAAAATCGAACTTCTAAGGAGATGCAGACTCAATCGATTCATGGAAAAAATATTTGCATACCATCTATAGAGAAGATGAAGAACAATTGGTCACTTTTTCAAAGAGACAAGGAAGGTTATTATTCCGAAATGTCTGGAACATGCGTGTTTGACTCGCGCTTTGGATTTTGGTCCCATAAACAAGATCTTGATGGATTAAGCTGAAAAATCTGTTTAATTGGGACATGAAGGACTTTAGATGTGAACATTGTTAGAAACAGGCATGTGACAGTTTTAGAGTTTCGAGTTTCAAGGTACGCACCCTGGTATTTTCGTTCCTTTATACGAAAAGTAGATATGAATATCGAATCATTTTATTTGCAACTCGTCATGTTTTACCAGCCTTGAAGGATCGGTTCTTGAGGGGTTTTATCCACAGAAATATGTATGCCCTCCTAAATATAAACGTCGAACATCCCTTGGATATAACAAAGGTTATTTACTGGGAAGGATTGGGTTTTATACCGAGTCAGGCAAGATGTTATTCAAAGATGGACCGAAGAAATCAAGGAAAATGTCATATTACCGGTATGAAACGCATATTCATATTCCAGACCAGAACATAAGCGTTTTGTACTACGATATCGAATGATTGAGTGATTGTTTACATGAGGATTTAAGTAAACATAACACCCCAGTCACATTTGTCGCACGGCGGCCGCAAGTCGACCGCAGATCAATTAAATCGGTGAATTTCTGCGGCGAGCGTAGAAAAACTACAGGGAAGGCGTAGAAATTATAACTCGGAGTTATAATATTTGTTCATTTCTGAGGTGCCCGTAGAAATCAACTGGCTCAACAAGATTGAATCATTATTCGTCAATGTTTCACGATCACTTTTCATTTGATATTACATCCTAGCACTATGAATAATATTTATAAATTGTCCCGATGTAAATAAAATGAAAAAAGTATTATTTATCAACAGAAATTTAAAATTCACCGTGCAGCTGCTGTGGGAAATGTGACTGCAAAAGTATGAGAGCGCAGAAATTCCACGGCGAGCGTAGAAATGTTACTGGCCGCAGAAATGATAGACCGCGAGGTCACCGTAGGAAATGTGACTGGGGTGTAAAGCTCCATGTGTATTTTTCATGAAATTTTATTGATAATGATTATGATTTACATTTAATGACTTAATTGTGAATATTTATAAATATCGTTTGAGAAAATAAATTAAGTTTTGAATTTCTTTTTTAATGTTTGAAAAACGAAAGTTTTTGAAAAATATGGAAATTTATAATGAAATACAGGGACAATAAAATATTACAGTTTCAACATGGGTACGACCAAGTGAATACGATTTAATGCGGGTATGGCCTGAGAAGTTTTTGAGTGCGAACTTTTCAATATAATTATAATTGATGATTATTCAACGTGAATAGCATTTTATTATTGATACGCAAGCCAATATAACATAGTTCAACAGAAAACCCCAGAACTCTCAATTGTTACTTCATAAAAGGTGAATTTGAATGATTTTGAAGTTTTAAATATGTCGTGACCTATTTAAAGCTATTGCCAATGTGACTTCATAATGACTTCATAATACCCTTTCGCACAATGTTTGCTCTTGTTAGAGAAAATGCCTTATTATAAATAAAATGCATTTAGATTAAAATATCACATATAGGTTCACAATCGTTCATCCATTTTCTCACAGGATATTTCAGGCTCTAAATTTGAAATTAAAGAAGACATCTCCAATTGGAAACGAGGAAATATTTTGTTTTTTTAATATTTTCAAGAGGTTGCAATTTTCTCGTTATATTTCATACATACCTTTTGTCAGATGAATCCAGACCATCAGCACTATGCATTTGGATGCCTTCATTTTATAGTGTCAAAATGATTCAAGAAAAATCTTATTTCTAAAATATGTCCACGTTAAAATTCGGTTATAGATAGTTTTGCATTCCCGCTGTCATGTGAAATACTAAAAAACTTCATCAATATCATTATTACTTTATTGGATCCTAGCAAATTTCATTTTGACATTGATATTTGTTGATCCAGATTCATTATATTTTAAGTAATTAAACACATGTTAAAACCTCATCGAATCTTATCCTCCAAACATCTGATTACAACAAAACGCAGTGAGATTGTAGTAGTTAGACGCTATTGTATCCGCTTTATCACTTTATTGATCATTTTGTATTTCCCATTTATGAGAGGTTGTTAGCCCACCATGACTCTCAGAACCATAGATTGAAATATGTATACAGTATACAATCGTACACCCCAAAATAGTATACTGATACTGTAAACCTTAAAAGTACCGTTGACCGAGACTGGAGGTAAAACTATTACCAGTTGACCGAATTGAGAGGTTAACAATTGTTTTGTTAGTCCGAAGAATATTATCATTGCAAGGATAAATATTGAATATCACGTGAAGACATTTGATAAGTGGACCAAGATATCATATTTTAGCAAAAAATCCCCGAACCATAGAATATCACTTCTTAAAAGCGGTTTGATTTTTTACAACTCTTTATCATTTAGAAGCATAACGATTTTTTCAATTTTTTCAAATATTATTATCAAAATCATTCCAAAATATTCTTCTTCAAAATTGTTTACACTTTTTTCAAACATGTTCCAAAACAATACTTAGTAGCGGTCAACAGTACATATTGTTCACTTTTAATTAACCAATCTGAATCGAGCATTTCAGCTGAGGAACTAACAATATATTTTATACAAGTAGGAGGAATGTACAATTTTGATACTCCTGAGATCCCAAAAGGGTGTGTCTAAAAATTATCATAAATTGGCTGTAAAAATCTTCATTTTTCGCGAACGATGTGATTTTATCCACGCACTATGCAGCTGTTTGACCAAAATGTACAATCCCCTCCATAAGTTTGGCAACCTTTTTTCCCCATTGAACTACGTGTTAAAGCCTCCTTTACCTTTGAATTTTAATTTATTTAACCGGCGATGAAATAACTTATAATATTGATGGAAACGTAACTTGACCTTATTTCCAATACCTCCAAATTTTCTCAATTTTTTTCCTCAATTACAATAGGTCAAAAATTGATGATAAAGTTGATGAATTTTTGAAAATCGTCATTCCCATGTAATCCAATGGGAAATGGAGGGTTCGGGGCAAATCAGAAAGCAAGATATCTTTTCAGTAAAAGATTCAGCAAAAAATATTTTTATATAGAAAATTGAATTGTCTAACTTTTTAAAACACTAAGTGTTTAGTTTATTTGATGAATATAAAAGTTACAGTGCTTCAAAGTCATTTTTGAAAATAATTTTTCGCCTCCTGTGTTATTTCAATGGGAGAGTTTTTTTGAAAAACAACTTTGACTTTAAAGCCCTATAACTTTGTTGAACCTGAAGAAACATATCAATTTTTTGTTAAATAAAGTTAGCAAATTCAATTGCCTGCCTAACTCGTATTTTTGCAAGGACTCGGATGGATGGATATTCTGTCATATGACTTGCGGCAAACCTACCATTTCCCATTGGTTAACATGGGAATGTCGATTTTCAAAATTTTATCATCAATTTTCGACCTATTGTAATTGAGAAAAAAAATTGAGAAAATTTGGAGGTATTGGAATTAAAGTCAAATTATGTTTCCATCAATAGTATAAGTATTTTCATTGCAGGTTAAGTAAATAAAAAATTCAAAGGTAAAGAGGCTTTAACACGTAGTTCAATGAGGAAAAAAGGTTGCCAAACTTATGGAGGGGAGTGTATGATCCTTCATGTGCAACACATCTTATAAAGTCAACTTCAGTCAACTATTCAAGTTCTGTAAAACTTTACAATAATGTCATAATGTGATCACCATGATTAAATGTAATTGTAACGTTAACGTTGTTCAAATACTAGATCATTATATAATAGTCATTATTCCAATAAGGGTGTATCATTACTACATGTTAAGTTTAAGTTCTTCGAATACTAGATCATTATATAATAGTAATTATTCCAATAAGGGTGTATCATTACTACATGTTAAGTTTAAGTTCTTCGAATACGAGATCATTATATAATAGTCATTATTCCGATGAGGGTGTATCATTACTACATGTTAAGTTTAAGTTGTTCGAATACTAGATCATTATATAATAGTCATTGTTTCAATAAGGGTGTATCATTACTACATGTTAAGTTTAAGTTGTTCGAATACGAGATCATTATATAATAGTCATTATTCCGATAAGGGTGTATCATTACTACATGTTAAGTTTAAGTTGTTCGAATACTAGATCATTATATAATAGTCATTGTTTCAATAAGGGTGTATCATTACTACATGTTAAGTTTAAGTTGTTCGAATACGAGATCATTATATAATAGTCATTGTTTCAATAAGGGTGTATCATTACTACATGTTAAGTTTAAGTTGTTCGAATACGAGATCATTATATAATAGTCATTGTTTCAATAAGGGTGTATCATTACTACATGTTAAGTTTAAGTTGTTCGAATACGAGATCATTATATAATAGTCATTATTCCGATAAGGGTGTATCATTACTACATGTTAAGTTTAAGTTGTTCGAATACGAGATCATTATATAATAGTCATTATTCCGATAAGGGTGTATCATTACTACATGTTAAGTTTAAGTTGTTCGAATACTAGATCATTATATAATAGTCATTGTTTCAATAAGGGTGTATCATTACTACATGTTAAGTTTAAGTTGTTCGAATACGAGATCATTATATATAATAGTCATCATTCCGATAAGGGTGTATCATTACTACATGTTAACTTTAAGTTGTTCGAATACTAGATCATTATATAATAGTCATTGTTCCAATAAGGGTGTATCATTACTACATGTTAAGTGTAAGTTGTTCGAATACTAGATCATTGTGTAATAGCCATTGTTCCATTTTGGGGATATCACTATTTGCACTTTATAAACGCATAACCAAATCGGTCGTTCACATACATGAGTGTAGTTTGATCTCCAGTTATATGTGACGTCAATTTCAGTCAATAGTCATTTGACTCTATAATCATATTTTGCGGAAATATTGGGAAAGATTGCTACCTTCGCTTTTAAATCAGACTCCCAAATTTAATCAATGCATGTTATAATTGAATATTTATTTCCTTATAATTCATTGGAAAAATATGTGAACTTAGAACAAAGAATGTATACAACTTCTTAAGCCTCTTTGGAAAACCGGGTAGGCTATTCATCAAAGTATTAATAAATGATAATAAATCGCTATGACATAAGCAATTGTAGTATATCGATAAAAACCAGGATGCAAATTTATTAATAATGTTAAGGGTAGGGCGATGACACACCTTCAATGAACATCAGATGTTCACGTGAATGCACATAATTGTCATAAACGAGAAAATGCCTGGAAAATGAAATGACTAACGTTTACAACTATTTTATATTTTGAATATATTGTTCCATGGTATTTATCATACTTGAAATTAGCGGCAAGGCAAAGTTAGTTTAGATATTGGGGAAGGGATATATATGGTTTACTGTAGGTATGGTCATTGTTTGGGATGCTGGGGTATGTTTTCGCATGCCTGGATGTACTTTTAATGTTCCTGGCCTTTGTTTTTTGTGGTCTTCAACTTGGCAATCGTACCGAAATATCTATATTATGGCGACTATCAATTTATCGTATTTTATACTTTTGTTTTTAATATAAATCACTATATAAGAACGTTCTCTCTCAAATCGCAAGATTAACAAAGTACATATAACGATTAACGATTATTTTATCAATTATAAACAATGTCAATATTTTATGTTGTACGAGGGGTGATCAATAAGTAATGGACGCTTTTTTACACGGATACTTTTTATGGACCAACCTCTTTGATTTTTTTACAAGTGATACATCATTCAATTATCTATCAACTCTGAAGATTTAAAGACAAAATATGTAATGCATGTTGATATATCTTTATTTCCGTGAAGGGGGTAGAGGTACCCCGGGACCGACATTACGTCACATATTCTGAAGTAATGCCAATTTGGCATATCAGTTAGATTTGAACTTTTCGATATGCCATAAGAGTTGTGTTGTTTGAATATCATGCTGCCTGTAGTAACACATACAAAATAAGTATTGTAAGGTCAAAGTGTTGTATGGTCAGGGTTTGCAGGTGATTTGAGAATGCAATGTTGAAGAAGAGGTTGGTGAGAGGAGGTAACACCCTACTTCATGTGGACAATGCCCCTGCCCAAATATCTCAAAATGTTCCGGGTATAATATCCCTGGACCTGAACATGAAAAACTTGGCCCATGCACCCTTTAGTCCAGATCTGGCCACACACGACTTATCTATTTCTATACTACTTTTTTCGATAGAAAAATGATGCAGGTTAAATGACATTGATGAAATAAAACAAGCTGTGCAACCGCAGTTTGCTACCATGTCAGAGAATGGAATCGGCCATGTAGAGGGCCCTGAAGAATGAATGTGGCATGAATGCCACAAAGTGAAGGGACAATATTCATAATCAATTATGGTGTATCGAAATGGTGTTATTCATAACCATCATGGTTTGTTTTGTTCAACCTGCATTAAACTGCATTGGGCGTTAAATGAGCTAAATAGCTTCAGAATGTGTGACGTTATGTCGGTCCCGGGGTACCCATACCTCCTTCACAGAAATAAATATATATCAAAATATATTACATGTTTTGTCCCCAAATCTTCAGAGTTGATAGAAAATTGAATGATGTATCACTGGTGAAAAAATTAAAGAGATTGGTCCATTAAAAGCATCTATGTAAAAAAGCGTCCATTACTTTGATCACCCCTCGTATATACATAATTCATAGGATTACTCAAAAACTTTACAAATGCTTACATACAGTGTATTCTATATGTACATACTAAACTTGTTTAATTGTTTCAATTATGATCTCTGCACAAATGATCTCATTAAGGGTTGTAATTGGACGATGAGGTAGCGGTAGCATCTCATATCGCCTGTTGTTAATTTGATGAGATCCTTACATCGACATTTGCGAAGATGGTTTACACTCAACTAATGAGTTAATGAGTTATATACTGTATAACATTATATAATAATTGTACAGGGTGTTTCATAATGACCGTCCCCCCATCCACAGGCAATCCTACTTCACATGCCCCCATAGTCTATAAACCATAATAAAGCGTATTCTTACTCAGATGCGAGTAGGTAGTTACCAGGTTCGCCACCAGGTGGCTGATTCGGGGGAATTAACATGGCAGGGTATTACAAAATTCCCTTAAACTTAATTATGCATGAGTTTTAATGGTTCACTTTTCATATTACCTTTATGTATCAGATAGTTATACAAATTAAAATATGTCCAGTAAATACAGAATATCACATCATTTTGAGTGATATCATTTTTATCGCCGAGTTGATATCAAATATCAACACGAGTGAGCGAAGCGAATGAGTGTTGATATTTGATATCTACGAGGCGATAAAGTGATATCACGAGAAATTATGTGATATTGGGTTTATCCCATGATTACAATCACCTTGTGATGTGATGTTCAGGAAATCACGAAGTATTTTCATATCGCTCGCTGTTTTTCGCAATGTGTTTTTGTTCTTTTGATATGGCAATGAATGCATTAACATCCTCATTCCCGAATCTGTCAAACTCACTGTTATCACTGCTCTCTTGATTTTCATCGGAAACTTCAGAGTTTCCCGTGTGAATGTCGAAATTCGCCAATTCTTCGTCAGACGAATTTGCACCGGCCATTTTGATTTGTACTTTACTCACTGCGCAGTAATATGCACTACTACACGATATAGTTCGTCATAAATACCATTTTTAATCGTTATTTAGCAGCCTTCTAATCAAATTATATACACAATCGTAATTTAATACACCAATGAAACTTAAAGAGAATAAATTAACGGACCTATTTTCTCAAAAGAGAATAAATTATCTGACCTAATTTCCAACAATATTGTGGCGCAAAATGCAAATGTGATATCACACGGATATGCGTGAGATAAACGATATCACACGCATATGAGTTTGATAAACGATTTTCTGGAAAATATCACACGGATTTCAATGATATCAGAAATATCAATGAACAAATATTTCACTCTATTGAGGTGAATACCTGTACATCTTTCACAAGTGATATTCCACGAAGCCCGAAGGGCAAGTGGAATATCACCTTGTGAAAGTGCTACAGGTATTCACCGAAAATAGAGTGAAATATTTGTTTTATTATATCACTGTCTAGCTAAACATCCCTAATATTATTAAGTCATAGGTTAACATTGAAATACATTGAATCTACTCGGTTCGTCTGCCATTTTGACTTACACTGAACTAAATTATTTGCACTGAACGAAAACAAATTCTTTGAAAATTCCCGGGAGCGTGGGATATCGCTAGATATCTCACGGTTGTCTTATCTGATTAGCATTGCCATTGAATATCGCCAGATATCACACGACATGTGACCCGGTTTTGACCAATCATACAGTCGCTAGCTAGATAGTGATATAATAATAGCTGTTATTGTACAGATAACACATTAATCGTGGGATAAAAGAAAATATTATCTGCCCAACACAAGAAAAGATATTTCACTTTTTGTGGTTTTACAACATGGGCTCTATGGGGAATCTCCCCGACCTAGAAGTCACATTTTCAAAGAAAATTAAATTTTCAAAGTTGATAAACTCTTTTCAAAACCACATTTCTAGATGTAATTTTACATGTGGATTCCAAATATGACATCAGTTTGACTGAATTGTGAATTTTTAATGACGTAAATCAAGATTATTTCTACTCGCATCTGGGATATTCTGAACTTATGTGCCAAATATTAGAATGCCTGGTCTTTGAGAACATAATTTGTGAACTTATATTTTGTAGCCACTATCCCCTTTAATTTGCATGATTTGTGGCTATACTATTCCTGATGGATTTAAAGAGAAAAGCAGATCGCTATATTATCCATTGTATCATTTAGAGCTCTCTGGGCATTTCTTTGAACTATCTAATACTTTTATCTTTCAAATATCATCAAGATATATCTTCAACATCCATCAAATGTTAGAAGTTGTACATTACTATACCCAATCGTGTATTGAGACATGGTTATCATAGCTGTTTGCAGGGTACATGGCTAATTTGGGAAAAAATGTGGCTTTCAGATTCTATGCTAAAGGTAAAATGGGTACCTTTTATAGAGATATGTAGCAAGTTGTAAAAAATGTTAAGCTTAATCAAAGTTGATTCAATAAGTCCAGAATTGACCAAGCTTCCATATGATATATAACACATGGGGGTATGCTATTCAGGATTGGTGGTTGATGGGGGGACGGTCATTATGAAACACCCTGTACTGTATAGCATTCATTTAGACATTACACGTATCTCCCTTTCATAAAGGGCAATAAAGATACAAACATACGCACGCACACACGCACGCACGCACGCGCGCGCGCGCACACACACACAAACAAAACACATGATGGTAAACAGGGCTTGAGCTAAGAGCCAGTCCACTGGTAATTTGTCAGGTCATTCTTCATACGGACCAGTTGATTTTTTCAGTAGGTATAGGAAAATGACATGGCGTTTGGTCCGTAATGTCATTTGACCAGGTGCTCTCAGAATTTTAACTCAATCCCTGACCGTATATGGGACTGGTACTTTAGATTAATTTTTTGTTATAATCCTCATTTTAACTTATCAGACAACACTCCGACTGTTTCTATTAAATTTTTTTATCGTTATTTACAATATGTACAAGATTTACATTTATATGATACATATTATTCTAGGATACAATAATGACATGTACAAATTGAATTAGTATGTTCAATAGCTGAAATGTACAATAGACTAGCATGGTTGTAGCCTAGTGCTACATCATAATGGCAAATTCGTACGCAGTCTGGCGCCAATCCTAGAATTTCACCTCTAACGGCGCCATACGAATACCCCCCCCCCCACTCCGCCGTTCCTCTTAATCATTACCTCAGTTCCAAAAAAACAGAATCGAGGTTCTATTCCATTATTCCATGCAACATTATTCAGGCGACTCGCCTGCTTTGAACACCCTAATTTATTCAAAGTAATTCTCTATCAAAATTGACTTCATCTCAACTCAGAGATCTTGTTTCGGCCTCTTGTTTCTACTGTATCACACACGTTTTGGATACAGCCTTTCCCTGTTCTTTGGCCAAGGCACTCCTAAATACATCCGATCTTCCTGAAATCAGAGGATTCAATAATTTCCAAAATGTGCTACATGAAGTTTGGTATACATTTCGAAAAATACAAATATTATATGCCGATTAGGTTGACTGAGTTAAGGAGGTCTAACCATATACTGTTCAATATTGTTTTTATTTCGATTGAATGTGTTAAAAGTTAAAATAAAATGAATACGAGAAGTTAACATAGGGTTCTTAAAATATCGCTTACCCAAAAATTGTTAATGAGAAATGGTTACCATAGTAACTTATAGTTATAAAAACGAGTGAAATTTTTTTAAATTTCAGGAATGCCCCTCATTAACCACGAAAGTCCAATATACAGAGTAAATATTTAAATCACCTTTAGTCTTGGAAAAGGATCTAACAATTTTTTCCTTGTAAATGCTTATCAATTCTATTTTTCTTAAGCTCTCTGCATCAATAACATTATATTGGTCATACATTTTAGCATTAGACATCATTATCAGAATTTGATTTCACATCTCATGAAATATGTAAGTATCCCTTGTGACATTTCATAATTCTCTGACCATTAATATTCAAAAACAATAAATAACACACAAAACTCAGGGGATATTTCGATTATACTTCATACTAATTCCAAATATCATTACCAAAACTTTTTTATAACTAAGATTGTATGTTACACACTTTGTGAGAATTTAATAAAAATTAGAGAGCTGTTTTAAAACCTTTATGATCATCCCTCGTATATTGCAGGAATTGAGACGATATATCAATTTACTTATTAAAAAACATATTAAAACACAATGCTAGATACATCAAATAAATGAACAACTATGAGGAGTTTTCAACAGTTAACATTTATATTTTTAATATCAAACCAGACATACACACATAAAAAAGCAGACATGCATATATAAAACAGGCATACATACACCAAACAAACAGACATGCAATATAAAACAGGCATACATACACCAACCAGACAGACATGCAATATATAACAGGCATACATACACCAACCAGACAGACATGCAATATAAAACAAGCATACATACACCAACCAGACAGACATGCAATATAAAACAAGCAAACATACACCAACCAGACAGACATGCAATATAAAACAAGCAAACATACACCAACCAGACAGACATGCAATATAAAACAGGCATACATACACCAACCAGACAGACATGCAATATAAAACAGGCATACATACACCAACCAGACAGACATGCAATATAAAACAGGCAAACATACACCAACCAGACAGACATGCAATATAAAACAGGCATAAATAACCAAACGATCAGGTATGCGATGGAAATCAGACATGCAATAAGTAAAAATCAGAAATGCAAAACAAATTAGACATACATGCACAAAACAAACAGAAAGACAAGCAAATCAAACTAGACGAACATCCACCAAACAAATAACGAACAAGTTGTCTTTATAATGACACTCTGAGGCCTTCAAACACAAACACAAAATGGAAGTTTAAGCTACATGTTTTTAAGAGAACTTTTACGTGGACGGAAATATTATGAAGCCAGATATTACTGTTGTTCCCTTTAAATTCGTTATAAGGGGACCTTACAATTTCTGCTTATGTTCAAATGTTTTTTCTATGAATAAAAAAGGAATAAAAAAATTGCTTATGTATTTATACTAAATTGGGCAAGCAAACACTAAAATAGAACCATAATTTTACACGTTGACGTTCTCTTGAAAACGTGTAGCCTAAGCTCCGTTATAATGAGTGGGTGGACAAAGTGCAACGATAAAGGTTCAACAAAACGGTAGAACAAAGCTTTATATTCAAACAGGGGACTTGGTGCTAAATTAAATCAAAATCCATTACACTCAATGTAATTACCACTTTTCTTCAAAATAGTATTTGATATCATAACATATTCGTAAAAGTCTATCGAGTTGGACATGTCTTTGTCAACCTCATACATGGCCTCCTGTAAATAATAAAAGCATCACGGTGTGACAACTATACTTATATATAATCATAAATGTATACAGCCATCTTCATGTACCAATGTGCCAAATTATGAATCCCTATACTTCACACATTGAACTTTTGAAGAATAATAGTTAAATGTGTACGAGGGTGCTCAAAGACTCTTGGAATATTTGCTCTTACTTCATCAGATGTTATTCTTTTAACCTCATATTTCATCTCGCATAGCTATATGAGATTCGAAATGACTTTCAGGAGCACAGTGCACGACATCAACGGGATGTTCCATTCTTTTCAACAACAGTATGAGGATGTATTTTCAACTATTAGTATCGGAAAGGGAAATATATTTGAGATTGAAACGGATTTCATATTTGGCATATTGCTACTCTTATGGCACGAACCTTAAATAATAATTCACATAAGCTAAACTTTCTTCCCAGAAAGGCAAAGCTAACGCGACGTACTAAAAAGGGCAAGAAACACTTTATTCCTTCAAAAATCTCACCCTGGCTGTGCACAATGAAGAAATAGTTGTATTGTTCGCATTGTTAAACATAAACTAAGGCATCGATTGCAAATGTTAGAATTAACATTTTCACTCGATCAGTGGGGGGAGATCTAAGTCTAAGGTACAGTGAGTACTCCTAAATTATATGTATATCAGGGGCGGATTTGGGAATCAAGAAGGGGGGGGCCAAATTTTAGGTCAGAGAAAAAAAATTTTGGGCCCCTAAAAGGCAAAAGTGGGCCCATATTTTGAAATTTTGAGGCCCGTTTTCTTCAAAATTTGGCCTGAATTTAAAAAATAAGGCCTTTAAAGGCCCAGTAATGACCAAAAAGGCCGACTTTTGGGGGCCTTAAGGCCTTTTTTGGCCCAAAAATTCTTTTGGGCCCAATTTTTTTTTCTGGGCCAACCCAAGGGGCGGGGGGGCGGGCCCCCCGGCCCCCCCCCCCCTAATCCGCCAGTGTATATATAAATACACGCTGTTTGGGGAGAGGCGTGACCAGGGTGAGATTTCTTGCAGGTTTAATTTCATCATTTACTGTACTGTACCTTGTCTTCTAATGAGATTGGACGAAATTAATAAATATTCATGGAAATCTAACGAATTATCCTTGTCTCTGTCTACTTCACACATGGCTTCCTAAAATATGTACATAACAAAGGGTGTACCAAAAAATGTAACCAAAACAAATGTTATAACGCTGTCATGAAACATGGGTTTAACATCATATTTGGCACAATTGACGCTAGTTCGATGTTCTTTTAATCCACCATGATTCATCGGTGTTTTTAAGTGGTCATGAAGATATGGTCATTTTTGCCTCACCCTGTACATAACATATCCTCACTGACCAATCCAAATGGTCAACCACAATACAATACATGTATTCAAGGTGCACATTTTTAGAACTGCATTATTTTTACTTGACAATATAAACATTGTGAATGCTGTATAATAGAGGGGATCCCACCTCATAATTTAAGAAAGTAAAAGCTATATATTACTTAAAACAAATGTTTAAAGCTCGATTGATGATTCTTGAAAATAGGTTCTACTTCTATTCGTAAGTATTATTTTGTTGTTTTTTTTATTCTGGAACGTCTTATATCATATATATAACACATGAATGAGTCTAGTTCTTCAGGTGAGGAGACATTAAGATCGGGAAATTAGCATAGAGGATTGATTCCCAGAATGCAATAGCAACATTCTTGCCATATATAGCGTTGTGACCTTGACATTATTATCATGTAGCCATATCGTGATAACAAAGTTCAAAATCCAAACGTCAACCATTTTCAGTTTAAAATTTGAATTGCCAGTTTTGGTCTTATTTCCAAACAAAAAAATTCAAAACACACAAGAAGTGATCAAGATATCGGTTCAAATCTTTTAAATTGCTGATTTTGTATTTATAGTCACTCATATCAGTGTCATCGATCAGGGTCAAGGTCGAATATCGAGTTGAGACCCTGGGAGCCAATCCTCCTTGGGAAAATATATTTGACTAAAAATCAATGTGTGTATTCGCTAGGAATAATTGCTGTACCTTAATTTGAGCAGGTGTGAACTGTTGACCTATTGTTGTTGTCATGGCAGCCATGAGCTAAAAAATAAAGAACAATTATGAAAAAGAGCAATAGCTTACTCAAGTATAGAAGCCAAACATGTGTAAGTTCTTCTGAATTTGTAACTTTATTTATGAATTTCATCATGGTACATATAACATATTCGAAACCGACTGTTCCTAGTAGTAGTTTACCTCATACTTGGAAATTCCCAATAAATCCTTAACAAGAGTCAATGTACCAGACGAGTATGACTTATTTCTGACCAATTTAATTCTAATTCATCATGTTTTGTCGTTGAAGTTTCCCCCCAGATACAAATTTTACAATGCGCCATATCATCAACTCTAACGCCACCCAAGAATTGTATACTCTGTCTAAGAGATTTATCATTTAGTTGTATCTAACTTTATCTTGTCGCCCTCATCATTGAGTTCAATCTTATGGTATTGCACTCTGATGTACTAACCTCGGTGAGATCTAATTTTCCATTGCCATCTTCGTCATAGAGTTTAAACTGTTGGTATTGCTCTTTAATAAAAGATGCTGACATGTGTGGAAAGTACTTCATCGCATTTATCATGTTGATGCTTCCGTTTTTGTTGATCATAGTTGGGTTATCTGGAAAAATCACATTGTTTTCACCATGAATGAATGAATTTGTGATTATGTTATGTTTTTCAGCAAAAAATAAATGTTTCACACAGGCAAAACAAAAGTTCAATGAAAGTACATGAAAAACAATTAAGGTATTTTATTTCCAAATGGCACAAACTGCCATAAATATTAACAAGATTTAGTACAAAATCAATATACACAACATTGTAAGGCGCATGCGTAAAATTAATTTATAAACGTTATTGGTTGATGGTTTTCTCCTGAGCATGCGTGAAGTCTGATGAATACTTATGACGAAGGCCGGAGCAAACATAAATAGCTCTCGAACGAAATTCCAAGATTCAGATCTAAGCGTGTATACATGAATGACAAGCTGTTTTGAGTAGATCAGGTACCTGTTTTAGACACAACATTGATTTAGCTTGACATTGATGTGCACATTGGCACTTTTGAGCATGTTAATACAAGTTTTTACACTCTTAGCAGGAGACAGGTTTTCGAAAAATCTAATTCACTCGTATTTCTGCTGACATTTTAACACCACATCACATAGAATTATGTTGCCGAATGCTAATAAAACTCCAAACAACTACTAAATTCCACTGGTTATTTCACAGGAGGTAAAAATGCACACTGCCTAGATTCTTTGTAAGGGTCGTCAGACATCGGATTCGCCGCCATGAATGAAAATATCACTAAATAGAGCTTTGCGCATGTCATAACATATCGACTGAATACACATGGTGGTGAATATCGCAATCTTATGAGAAACATGGATTTAATTCGCCAAACATGCCCAAACCTTATCAGATCTTGGCACTAGTATGTTCTTGCATATCCTAACAAATTTAACGAATTTTGATGACAAGATTCAAGTAGCGCTAACCCAGCCAGCAACACAAAACGACGGCTTTATATCACTTTTTAAATGCGTTAAAAACCTCAGTCCAAACAAACAAATATCAAAGTCAAACCTGGGAGATTCAGTCTCTTTTTAAGACCAACGTCATCATCATCATCACTGTCTGATTCATCTTCTTCTCTGAGATTCTTCTTTGTTGAGATGTCACCTTTTATAGGTTGAAACTTAGTCTGTTCCCTGAATATTACACAAAATGCAAATCGATATATACAGGTCTGGAGCTTCTGTTAACGAATCTTACCATTTTTGCGTCCATTTGAAATAAACTAACTGAGCTTCCAAGGACATTAGAGAAGAAACTGTTTCTATTCCTAACTTTCACCTATAGAATCTAAAAATGAGTCAAGGCCCATAACTTTTTTTTTTTTTTTATTCATAGAATTTATTTTACAAATACATAAAGTACATAAACATTATACACTTGTAGTGGCTTTGCTGAAGGCATTATCAGCCACTTGATTTATAATTGCAGGGTGAAGAAAAAAGAAAAATTTAAATATGGACTCAAGAGTGAAGTGAGTGGTGGCAGGGAAACCTACACATTTGCACATTTTTCTAAAAATGATGCAGTGAGCTTGAGAATTTTCAAATTAGTGGATTTAGTTAAGTTTGAATCCCCATAAAGAAATAATTCTACTTTGTCCCTCTTGTGTTTGAATTGAGAATAACCAAAATTAAGAAAAGCTAAATTGTTTTCCAACTCTTCTAAGAATGGAGCACGGAGAATACAGGAAAAAATGACATGAATTGTTGTTTCATTTGCATGGCCACAAGAACATGCAGGTGAAGTAACGTTTGTAAAATTATGAGAGTATAGATGGGACTTAAAAATTAAGTCACAACGAACCTTGTTAAGTATAATTTCTTGATTTCTTGAAATATTAAGTTCAGAGGATCGAATAATTGAATTAGATAACTCTTTCTTTGCCCTTGACTTAAATATACTTAAATTTTCAGCTTCTATGAGGGGCTTTGAAAGGGTATTCCAATCTATCATAGCTTGTAAAATACAGGATCGATGTGAAAATGATGTAATTTTTGTTGGGATTTGGAAAGGAGCAATTCGTCGAACATTAACTGTATGATGTCTACGAAATCTTTGGAAAATACTTGAAACATATGATGGTAACAAATTATTCTGCGATCTAAATACAAGAATATTGCGGTGATATTTGCGTCTTTCTGCTAATGATGTCCAATTTAAACAGTTCAAAACTTTAGTACATGATGTACCATGAATGACTCCAGAGCATATGCAGGCTGCCTTATAATAAAGCTGATCAATTAATTTTAATTTTGATAAGTTTGCGCATGAGTAGAGGATATCACAATAGTCAAAAATCGGGAGAACAAATGACTTGAAAATTAGTTCCAAGTGTCTACCTCCTAATTTCTTTTGGAGTGATCTGAGTGGGTTTAAGTGCTTTTCAACTTTTTTGTATAGTTCATTTATATGTTGCTCGAATGATAAATGTTTGTCAAGTGTTAAGCCGAGATGTTTGTGATAGTCAACACGAGGTAGAGAGTTATTTCATAACTCAAATAATTATCAACTTTTCAAAGATGGGTGCAAATAAAAAAGCATTTCTTCAGCTTTAGTTAGGCTGAGATTAGTTAGTAATTTAAGTAAAGATTAGTAAACCGTGAGGGAAGAAACTGTTTCTATTCCTAACTTTCACCTATAAATTCTAAACATGAGTCAAGGCCCAAAACTCAAATAATTATCAACTTTTCAAAGATGGTTGCAGATAAAAATCATCTCTTCAGCTTTATTTAGGCTAAGATTAGTAATTAATTTAAGTAAAGATTAGTAAACGTGCGGTTAACTTGATTATAATCAACATGTTGTCTACAAGCTCTCCTAACCCAGAATCAACACAATGAACATGTAGTCTTCAAGTCTTCCATACATAGTCAATATTCAGATCCAATCCAAAGTCATATATGGCCTTACATTAGCATAATCTTGGGTTGAAGATATTTAAAGTGAATTAAACCAACTTACGTATTTTCAATATATAATTTTGAGAACATCTTTACCGGGGATTTTTTCACATCCTAAAAGTGAAAATGATTATTAAACATAGATTAATCATTAGTTTGATTAATTATAGAAATACTATTTGTACTATTTGTATACAAATACTATTTTACAATACATTATATAATATAGATACTTCTTACCATTATGTTACTAATACTAACAATTTTAACAAGGCATTTTGCAAAATGTCGCCACTTGTCATGTGTTATTACATACGCCGACTGGTGACAGGCCGAATTCCGTCGAAAATAAGTTGGAGGCTATAGCTATATAATAACAATGTGTCAAACTTCTAATGGTATGTCGGGGAAAACTATTAAATATTTTCTATCATCATCACTTTGCGAGATATGTTACCGGGTTACATTACAAGTGCTATAATTTAGAAAGCTTGTATTTTACTGTATCAACTTGAGCAATAGGTGGAGTCATAGTGACGGGATATAGTGGTTATTATCAGCCCTAGTCCAGGGAGGGTAAATAACGAGTTTGTACTTAGTTGGGGGTGTCAATATGTATATCCTCATTTCACCGGTCGACATAGTCAAATCTTGGACCGAGGGTCGAACTTCTGAAATGCAAGTATTGATTAAAATCAACCTACCACATTTGTAGCTATGTAATGCTCGGGTAAGTCAGCTCTGAATTCATTCAACCGTCCCTCCTGTACAGCAATATAAAGTTTTTCTAAATTCGCTTGATAGTTCTTTAATTCGCTCATCACTAGAACATCTGGACAACGGGATTCATTTGCTGTCAAGGCTTCCATATTTTTTCTGCAAACATATGAGAAAAAACACAGATAATATAGTTCTTATATTTGTCATTTGAATAATTGTGAACCCAACAAATTTAAGAGAATTGGAGCAAAAAATGAGATACTTTGACTAACAATACTTTTCTAAACAATTAATCAATCAAGATGATAAAGAATGGCTAACGAATGGGTAAAAGTTTTAAACAATTGTTTTTGTACAATTACAAACAGTAAATCGTTACAAACTATGGTTAAACATTAACAATATGGAATTCAAAAGAATCCAAACGTTGAATAAGAAAAACAGAAAATTGATGCAGGTAATAGCAATAGCAAACAGGCAAACAATTCACATCTTAACAAACTATTGGTCAATATAAAAAACAATAAAAATGATTATGATCAATGTAAAACGATTACAAACAATGAAAGGCCTTGAAAAACAATGGACTGACATTACAAGTAATTGTGACCTTTATCAAAACTTGATTAAACTTACTTGTGATCTACACGTAGACCATTAGATATGCCAATGTAGTATTTTTGTTGATTTGCAAGCTCATTTTCCATCTTATTAACATCTCTCTCCATATAGTGGAGCTTATTCTTTAATTGATCCGTTTCCGATTTTTTCTCTGTTTTAGAAGGTCCGATTCTCATTTCTGATTTCATTTTCATCATCCGGTTTGAATCTTCTAATTCCTGAAAATATACAGGATCTTTCACTTTCATCTAATGTAAATATAAGATTATGTATATATAAATATATAAGTTATGTAAATATGAATATTATACATTTTAAGACCAAATAATGCAATACAATACAAAACAATACCATGCAATACTAAACACTAGTATAATACAATACTACAAAACAATTCAGTACAGTACGGTACGGTATGGTATGGTACAGTACGGTACAGTACAGCACCATACCGTACCGGTCCGTACAGTACAAAATGATAAATTATAATATAATACAAAACAATTGGCTTTGTACTGCTTTACAGTTGGAAGAACGGCACACTGTTAAATGATCAATGTTAATTCATAGAGGGCTACAGTGTACTTGACACTTGCAATCAATAGTAGGGTATGTGTATTTTGAAGGCAGGAAGTACATGGAAGATAAAATACAGGGTGACAAAAATACAACCTTTGAATTTTTAGACGATTGCATTTTTTAGGTCACCTTGTATATATAAATAAACTTGCAATTTCTATTATAGAATTGTAAAATATCTATTCAAACTTTACAAAAGTGTTTCCAAAGAAAAAATTGCAAACAATATAATACCCATGATATGTTTAAATTAATTAGAAAATAACTTACATTTATTTTTTTCTGCATTCTTACTTTCATATCGAGGTTTTCTGTTTTTAGTTGTAAGATTTCACTTTCGAGTTTAGTTGCTCTAAAATATAAAATTACACCAAAATATGATATTGCAAAAAACGCAACAAAATATAGCATCTCTAAAAATGCTCTAAAATAGCTTACCTTATATTCTGTCTGATGTTATCATTAGCTCAACATTAGGTAAACCCAATGTATTGTTACAATACTTGTACTTACTTCATATTTGCATCATGTAAAATCTTTTCTTTTTCTTTAGCCCATAATTGCACTGTATTTTCTCTTTTTAACCTAGACAGATGAAAAATGCATTTTCTTAGTCAGATATCTATATTACAATATGTCAAATATCATAGTTAGATTACAACTGTTTTTTGGGTAAATCAAATCAAATTAGCTTTGATTAATTATTTTCTCACTCAATATGCAAATTAAATGTTTGAATCGGAAAGAATTTTGAATTTTACAATTACTGATATTTTATTGATATTTCATATTTTCACCCTTGTCTGTTATCAATAGGGAGTTTAAGCTTGTATATAAAATCGAAACGCCATACGTATGACCAATCGCTCATACACCGCTTAAATATTTTCCGTTCACTTTTAGGTTGTGAAAAACATTGCAAGCTTAAACTCCCTATTGTTTACAGACTGTTTTAACTTACTGAGCAATTTGTTCATTCTTTTCATTGATCAGTTTCTCGTAGTGACCCGTCGTTGCCTTGGATACGTTCATCTCTGCCCTATCGGCGTTCTTCTGTACTTGCATGTTCGTATTGTCATTCTTGACTTTCCACAGATCATCTAAAAATATTTCACAATTTTGACTTAAGGTCTTAAGGTAGTTAACAGTAAACGACAAAATAGAAGGTAAAAAGACATGTTTGATTTTGGAAAAGTTTTGAACTAGGATTACTGAGTTCTGTTTTGACTTTATTAATGATAAATTTGAAATTTGGAAATTTTGAAATCTAGAATGATGTTGTTGTTTTGTCATGACATTTTATGCGATTCGCTCACCTTGAAGGCCTTTGATTTCTTGATTCAATTGGTATTCCTTGTTCATACAGTCCTGAAATCAAAAATAATCATTTTTTAAATATTCTTGCAAATAAATCCTTTTATAAAATGATGTGTAATTTTCAGCTTTGGTATAGCGTTTATCATGGGGAAAATTTATGCAAGTATTAATGTATCAAAATAAGATGCGTCGCCCACCTCGATTTTCTGCACTACTGCGTCCTTTACCAAATGCATCTCGTTGGTGAAATCGAACAGCACTTTAGCTGGATCTTTGAGTTCCTCGCTTGTGAAATTCCCCCTATGATATTCGTAAAACTCATCGTGGACGTATTTATCTCGGATTGAGGTCCACACTTTATGGTCCTATAACATGATATGTGTGATAAATTAATTCATTGTGTCCACTATGGCATGCAAGACAAGAGAACTGTTAAGATAGGTCTGATATGTTTTGTTTAAAATACGTTTATTTTACGATGAGAGATCAATGAATGGTGCCAAATAAAACCAGATTACAATAGGCATCAGATCACAGTATTTCATGATATATCCTGGGAGTATTGTTATCATCAATTTGAACATCCCATTTTCAACATATCGTCGCATTATTGACCATGCTGACCCTCCTCCCCCCACCCCCACCCGGCTACGGGCCTGTCCGGGGGCCTGCTTTGCATAGAATATCGCTTACCACATTGTCAAATCGCTTGAGCATGTCCTTGCATTCGATGCTTTTCTCTGTGGCTCCCATTATTGTGCTGAATTGCTCGAACAACATCAACACTCCAGTCTTTAACTCAGTTATATTGTTCTGTGTATACGCCAGCTTTGCCATCTTTAGCTGCCTCTGTAAAATATATAATACATAAATATTAAATGGGTACAATCAGAGATTTCCGTCGAAAATTAACAATGAAAAATGGCTAGAATTACTGATATAGAAACAAGAAATAAGTTAATGTCAATGTTCACTTTCTGCCGATACAATCCTCATAGACACATTTTACTTTTCAACTCATTAATGAAGACTGCTTAAAAAACCAAACATATCTTTCTTAATAATATAATCTTCATAATAAAAGTAGAATCAGATTTTGCCGTAGAAAACAACAAACAAACTGGCTTAAACACCTGAAAAACACCGCTTTAGAACTGTAGGAGAACAGTATCATTTATAAATTCCCATGGCAGTGTCCTTAATGGAACCTAGAATATTTTCCAAAATAGCTCAAATGATGTGAAAGGTCCAGGTTAAGAATTTCCACAATATTCATCGGTTGACGTACTTTATAACTGATTTCATGTGTTTTTCTTTAATTACAGGTTACCGACTTAAAATAACGTTGGCAATTTAATTACAATATAGCCTGATTAGATAGAATAAATTGTCTTGATGGTGTTGATTCAAGCCTTGCATGCGTGTTTCTCAGATTTATTATCTCCAATTAAGTGAGAAATACCAATTGAGATGGACAACAGTCTATTGTTAATTCTGTCCAAATAATTGAAAATCCACATGAAAAATTAACAAAAGGTGTTAATAATACCCTTTATCCTATGCCTAGTACAGTTTTAGGAAGATAAGTTAGTAAGATATACCCCGTATCCTGATTTTGTAGTTTGCATATCCAGAACCGCCATATCTCCCGCTGTAGGGCATATCTTCCCGCTTAAACAATTTGGTCCATACGGTTCCTCATGTAGATATGCATATCTCCCTCTGGATAAACCCCATATCCAAAACCTCCCAATACATAACCCTTATTTATTCAGCACTCCCCGGCTCCCTGCCTCCATCCACCATCATGGTTTAAATTAAGTATTCAACTAAGTTGTGAGTTAATGTCAGGGAGCAGAATATATTGAGTCAGTTCTCAATTAAACTAAAGCTAGAATGACAAGGTTATTTTGGATTGGTTTTGACTTAAATAAGTTAAACTAGGACGTGAAATAAAATCATCACAGTGCAATTCTAAGTTGACGGGAAACACTACGCAGTACGCATACTAAAAACAGTACATTAATATTTTGAAAATCGAAATCGTATTATGCAAAACGTATTTCAACTTTTAAGTTATTTAATTATAATCTTCGACACTAACAAACAAACCCAACTACTAGGAAATGGTACACTCCCCTCAATAAGTTTGGATCAGTTTCCATTTGATATCGTGTTATAGCATGTTAATGTTTGATTATTTTCATTTTTATTTTATTTCATTTCATTTCCATATTATGGCATAATCAACGATTCTTAATTTTGTTCCTTAATTACAATAGTTTGGAAATGTCTGAAAAATTTATCTGAAAATAACATAGTTTTTGTTTTATTTAACCAATTCTCCAAGTCTACCATTATTCCCTTATTCTCACTTACCTCGGTCTCTTCCGTCATGGCGGCAATTTGTATTTCCCCAAAATGTATTTCCTAAGTTTGTATTTTCAGAGCTGTGCTTCTACAATATGCTTTTCCACAAAATCTGGCTCCAGTCTATAATCGGTTTTGTTCCTCAATCAACCTCTTGTCTATGACATGATCATGACTGGGTTAGAACTACCCCTCTGCAACCAGAAAATGTTACTTTATAATTAAAACAATTGGTTGTGTCAAAGGACAACAGTGTAAAAGACAAATAATTATTAGGAATTATGATTTTCAATAACAAGGGTTGAATAAAACAAAGAACACATTTCAAATATTTACAGATCTAACTTCATCTAACTCAAGTCTATCTTATCCGTACGTGTGTTTCATTCCTAAATACAAAATGATAAAAACAGTTACTTCAATTGTACTTAAATCTTACCTTGAAAAGAAAATCGTGTACATGTTGTTGAAATTAATAGGTATCCATAATGGCTCACGTATATTATATTTATTTGTTTTATCTTACTTTTTCCTTATCACGGCGCTTCTATTTCAGTTAGCTGTTCTGGTTTAAACGTTTCTGTGGTATCCAACTTCAACGTTTGATCTTTATATAAACAGTTCTGACCTTTACGTTGTTAAAAAATCAAAATCATAATCATTTAAAGTTTTTCTAAAAACACACATGCGTAAGGCTTCGGAATATTTTCTCAAGAAACAAAATAGGAAGTGTGTAACCATAACCAGTTAACTGCAATAAGTACCCTTTTGATACTATATAACACAATAATTTCAAACGCAAAATAAATGTCTAGGTGCCTATGAAAGCACTACAAGAACATTGTTTATTACATGAAGAAATAACAACCTTAGATATTAACCCTATATTTCTTAAACTCTATTAATAAATACAACTTAAATTGCAATTAATCTAGAACATGTACGGGGGGTTAATCCAAAATTGTCGTATCTCGTTAAGCTTAAATTAAAAACCATTATTAAACACCATACAGGATGAAAATTTGATTATCGAACAACAAAATGTAAAGTGAGCCGTTTATATTATAATATCATTGTGCATTGTACTTCAATTTAATTCCCGTATAATTCTCCCTGAGCCCTAGCAACAACAAGAGGCTGGCACTTCAGTCTGAATTCTAAAGTGGTCTAACCGAAATTTGATAAGTCCGTACAGTGTACGTGGTATGTTTCTTCAGTGGCCGTGAACTATTTCATATTATTTAATATATAGTACATTCATAGATGTTATACCTAGGGAGGGATTGCATACTGGGTTTATCGTGAGGGATGATATGATATCCTCCCGAGTGGCATGACGATTGTGATTTATCCTTCATGTCCTTGCCATTGCGATTCCTAAATGAGCTAAATAGCTTTAAAGATCTTAAGACCCTGTGACTTTGTGTCAATGGGAATTTACCTCTCTTGCAGAAAACTTTAAAATCGTAGGAAAATTGAATACAAGAAAAAATTGAAAATCAAAGTTCTTCTAGTCTAATAATCATACTTAGAATTCAAACATATACGTTTGTTCAATTATGATATCATCATAATTGAACAAAATGTTAACATCAAAAGCACAATTCTCGTCCTAACTAGGTTGGTAAAATATTTACAACTAGCTGTTTGATTTAAGTTAATGTTCATAAGTATATATAACAATTGATCGTTTTGAGAGGTATTCACATGCACATATAAGACATAAAAACCTTTATGCTACGAAGGTTTCTTCTGAGTATGACTTATCCATTTTTCATTTCTATAGTAACAAAGATGAAACGACTATATTGTGTCCTCTCTTAATAAAACCAAGATGCGTATAAATACTCATGTCAAGATGACAGATATACAAAAATATTAACTGTGCTTTTAATTACAAATAGCGCATCAATAAACACCGCAACACCTTTTTGCCTATAAAAACAACATATGGAATGTTTAATATTTTGATTCCGAACAATTTAGTGATTTTAAAGTTATCATTGCCGGCTGCACAAGAAATGTTACGTCGCGTTCGAGACACAAGTCATCTATACGAATGCAAAAACAGAATTGAAAATTGATAAATGGAATGGTAAACTGTCAGATTTGGAAAATTGAATTATTGAAATACTCAAGTCAGCCGATGGAAATATGTACAAACAAAGACATAGTGTTAGACTCGGACACACTTCGAAACAAATGAAAACGCAATCTCAGACTTGACCAAACCGAGATTTGAAAAATTGAACCAATAAAATACTTAGATTCGCCAATAGAAACACTGCATATGGATTGTTAAGAACTATGTCGGGGCTTGAAAAAGACTGACAAGCAGGCGAAATTAAATTGAAAACTTTGGCCATATATCAGGAGTTCGATAACATTGCTTTCATCAACAAATGAGACACATTGACATCTGTGCTCACATATAAGATAAGAATAAGAACAAATGACTGCCAACATTAAAAGAGAAATCAAAGACACGATCACGTGTGATATATGTTCTGAAATCCTGACTAATCCAAGGACTCTACCGTGTATGCACACATACTGTTGCGACTGCCTATGCGAACTGGTTATAATGGAAACTGAGACCAAAGACACAGTCCAATGTCCCGAATGCACACAAGTACACGTAGTACCAACTAAAGGAGTGGAAGACTTCGAAGTCAGCTACACAGTCAAACACTTGCTAGAGGTATACAACGCGTCAATTGTTGCTGAGTGTAAACCAAAGTGTAAAATCTGTAAAGACACCCATAGCTCTACCACCGATGCAGTTGTTAGATGCACCGACTGTGATAAAAACATGTGTGAGAAATGTGAAACATATCACCGGGAGTTTTTGAAAGATCACGTAACCTTTGTCTTGACAGGCGACAAGGCACGAGACATACAGGGAGCAATTGAAACCGTGAAAGATCGTAAAATATACTGTGCAACACATAAAATCCCGCTACAGGTGTATTGTAAGGTTGATAAATGCGTCGTCTGCGCTACATGTTACATCATTAATCATTCTACGCATGAATGTGTGGAAATTCATATGGCTGCTAAGACAAACATTCAACAAATCAATGGCCTGTTGAAACATGGTGAGAAACTGGTGGAACATTATGATGATGCCATCGACGATACGAATGAATACAATGACACAATGGAGAAAGATGTTAATGAGGCAATAAGTGATCTAACAGATGATTTGGCTATAGCTATTCAAATAGTACGTGACAGATACACTAAAGCCGTCATTGAGATTAATACGAAAAAAGATGCATGTCATAAAATGTCATCAGCTCATCTAAGACAACTTGAAAAGCAGAAGGCACTCATCGAGACCAGTATGAATAGATTAAGGACAATGAAAGACTTTGGCCACAGTACTGAACTAGCAAACTTGGCCACAGAAATAGATACAAAGTCAAAAGAATGGACTAAATTACCACATGTTCAATTTGAACAGAAAACCAGACTGAAGATCCATAGAGAGGTGTGTAAAATTATGGTTGGAAGAGTTGATTTGGAAAATTATGATGACGTACCCGAAAATAAGAGTTCAAGATCATGTTCTTGGTGAAGCAATAGATCTAACTGTATTACATTAGGATCGAACAATATTAAAAAATCACTTTTTGGTAAAGGATTATCCATTAATATTGTTAAAGATATTAAAGCCATCATTCTAGTTTGTATGTTTGTTTGCGTCTGTTATGTCACCAACAGAATTGGTGACACATTGTTATAGTCTCAAACATTTGGACAGTGTTATGTGTTCGATGATTGCCGTATGTAACAAATGGCAGGCGGTGATATTTTGCATCTTTATACCTTGTTTTAATTTTTGTAACAGCCTTAATATTCAGTCCATTTATGATTTATTACAAAATATAACTGAAGAGTGAAACTGTTCTTGGTCAGAGCGTCGTAATTCCGACGCTGGGTCTAAGGGTATATGTATTACTTCCAACGCAAAACGAGTATTCAGAGTATCAATTGTCACGAAACCAAGGTAGTTGACTTATTATAGAAACAAGATGAATGCTATTTCTCAGGTTAAGACCATTAGTGTAAATTATTTAGAGAATTACTTATTATGCTTTCATCTATACAAAGGCTTTCAAGTTTACAAGACATGCTTTTGTAATATTGCTTCACCGGAGGGGGTGCCACATTCGATGATTTGTTTTTAAAGGATTATTTTTTTGAGTTACCAAAACAAAGCGGGTGATAAAACTACAAAAATTACATATGATCATGGACTTGGAGATAATGTCCGGGGTTTAATGTAAAAATGAGTTTAATGAATGTTTTATTACTGTACCTCAAGTATCAAAAGGCATTAACATGCAAAATTTCACCACCTACCATGTATCACTGTGATGTATAACAGATGCCGACCTCCATTTATTACAGACGCCGACCGCCGAACACCAACCGCCGAGCGCAGTCCACAGAAAATTAAAGTTTGAGACTATACATGTATTTCTGCGATTTCTTTTAGCTGATATGTTGATGCACTACCGAGGAATCCAGGTGGTCATAAACGACCATTCACAATGTTTTGTGCAAAGGGGAGGTCCATAATAGCCTTCCTTGCATTCATATGTAAATGTTCCCTAACCCTTTTGGAGTTAATGTGGAAGTCTGACTATGTTATGTTTTGCAAATTAGCTTTTTATGTATTGTTATTCTCCAACTTTTTTTTGGACGTCGATTGGTTTCGGCGTTCGTGGTCTGTAACAAATGGCGTCATTAACAAATGACAGGTGGTGACATTTTCAACGTTAATGACTCATTTACATTTTTCATCATCTGACCTATTGTGATGATGAAACGAAAGAGATGGGCAGGTTTTAAGAGACTATGATAGTCATTCCGTTTGGTTGGGGTCTGTTAATCATATAACTTTCAAAATGTAATCTGAATTATTTATATTATCACAAATAGATTTATTTCATATAAATATTTTCTCAGTGTATTGAATCATGGCCCCAAGGCATCAAGTAGTTATTATTTCATGCATACAAAATAATTTCATTCATTCAAAAAGCTAGTCTTATTTCCTCTTTTTGTTTTTAAGTTTGTTTTTAATTATACTTTCAGCTTTAGTTATACCATCTTCTTTAAATGAAGATTTATCTCTCAAATTTTTATCTGTTCGAGTTTTTTTCAAAATCTCTGCAGCTTTCTGTTTTCTATCTTCATTTTCCTCTTGGGAGATTTTCTCAAAATCAATACGTCCTAAAGTTGATTTTACCACTCTATGTTTTTTCTGGTTTCTTGGCGGTTTGTAGTTAGGCTTACGAAGATTCATATCTTTGAAATAATCCCAACGTGATGTGTTCTCAGTGCAGGCTTCATTGTTTGACCTTTGACCCTCATCTTGGTCTTCATTATCATCATCGTCAACATAAATTGAAGGTTCCTTAGCTTTGTCAGACTTATCAGTGGTTTCAGTCTCACTTTCAGAACTACTTTCTGACAAATTACTACGCTCAACAATCCGTCCCTGATTTTCAACCCTTGGTTTCTTTGGATTCCTTGTTTTAGATGGCGCTTTCCTTTTAGTCGTCTGCTTCTTTTGAGTTTTTCCCGCCTTTTTTGGAGCTGATTTTTTGCTTTGTTCTTCATCATGATTTGTCTCAGGGGATGGCTGGAAATCCCCATGTAGTTTATGAAGAACTTGTTTTATTCGTTTGCTATGCAGTTTTTGTGGAATTCCGATGCTAGCTATTGTGCCTGGTTGGAAGTAGGAGTTGATTCGTTTCTGGGTCTGAAAAGAAGTAGAATATTTTCAACACACATACTGTTATATCAACTGAGAAACAGACCAAGTACTTTACAGGTCATTTTACCTCAGAAGCAATATCTTATGATGATACCTTTAGGGTGGTAAAATAACATTTAGGCCAATTAGTGTTTCTGTGTTTCAGGATATAGGCTAGTCCTATGATCTTGGAAAAAGTTATTCTCACTGACATATGTTCAAATCAAATTCATAAAAAATGGAACTATTGATTCTCACTATTTGATCCATTCTCAATTCAAAAAGCAGCCTGTTGTATCATATTGAATATGTACATTATATGTAGCTAGAAAATAAACCATATACAGTACATCAGGCCAGTAGCCAGTATTTGCCAAGGGGGGTTCACGTTTGCTTCAAAAATGGCAAAAATTGCTTAAATGTGCTCCTTATGATGAAAATGAAAAACTGCATGATTTTGAAAGAATTTTTGACCAGGGAGTTCGCTTGAATCCATTGACCCCCCTGAGTACAGGCCTGGGTACAGGTATTTCTATTACTATATCTAGTATATAAATGTGAGACAAATGTGAGATACCTGTTTCTCATTTAGTTTCTGTATAACTGGAAGAAGCATTTCGTCCACCTTGCCCTTGGGCCACCTGAACTTATCTTTTGCATATCTTGAAGACTGTTAAGGAATGAATGTAACCATAGGTTTGATGCCAATATAAAGATGGCAGAAGTTGTAGAATTTTTAAGAAATGCAAACCAGAGTGATATACACTGCCATATTTATTAATTATCAATGAATCAAAAATATTTCCAAACACAAATGTACCTTCTACTGAATAGATACCTTGTACAATATGAAGCAATCGTTTAGACACATTTGAGGACTTCAAATCTGGTAAATTTTGTTGATCAAAACAATGGTGCCAAGTCAATAGCAAGCAAAGGGAATCTGTACATCTTGGAATAAGATAAGAGGGACTGAAAACAACACAGGACCAATAAGATTTATATGGCCATCTTAAGAAGACATGGATCCATAAACCTTGATATTTTGACAAAAAAGTCAATTATATTAGTCAGCTAAGAGTTAAAAGGATACTGTCTGAGAAGGTCAAGGTCAGGGGTATCCCAGGTGAATTTCTCTTTGGAATCATCCACTGTAGGTGCTATATAAGCCTCTCTTACAGCATCACTTGGGAAACCTAAAATGAAACTGCATTTATGAATCATAACATAAAGTAAAATTAAGGGGTAAAGCAGACATTCTGTAATTTAAAGAACAATAAAAATGTACTATGAACACGGATTTTTTCACAGGCTTTGATTGACAGAAAAAATGATGTTAAAAAGATGACTGAGCAGTAATTACCTCCCTCTCTTTAATAACATAATATGAACTAACATACTGCCATATTTATATAGGCCTTAAAGCTTTGATTTTGTGATCATTGTTATTGTTAAACCATCAAAATTATGAAGAAAATCTACATGTAAGTGTATAATAGCCTTAAATTAGAGAACCAATGTCTCTGTTATACTTCTGATATAATGAACAAAACAGAAAAACATCAATTGACAAGTCAAAAATCAGATATATTTATTGTAGGCCGAGATATGAACGTTTTTCTGAAATACCTAAATTTTGAAGAAATGAATGACAGGGAATGATACAAGAGTGAAAAGAATTTTGCACTCTAGATCTGATACTAGAATATAGTAGACCTTTGACATTGTTGCTGTAACTTTCACAAACAAGTTGAGAAAATGTGATTTTAACATTAAATCCAAAATATATACAAACTTGTAAAGATGTTACCCTTTTTATGCAAAAAATTTGGAATCCATGGATCTATCCTACTTTTAAGCCTTGCAGTATTACAATGAGGATAGTTTACCTGGTGTAACAGTCAAACGTCTCAGTTTGCTGCGAATCTTGGATTCTAAGGGTGTTCTAAGTTGTGTTTGTGCCTCTGTCCACCAGTCCCTACAATACATATATATAAGAGTTACTGGGAAAGTTTATCCTTCATTTTTATTTAGTTTTACAGACAAAAATTGCATCATCAAGTTACATTGTAAGATTTGATTTTAGATAGGATCAATCACACACCAGTAAAGGTGTGCTGACCTCAAAGTAAAATGTTACATTGTAGTTTTATTAAATACAAGACGCACAGTGATAAATATTGAATGAGCAAAATGGTTGCCATGCAATTCACCCAGCAAGTCCAAAACCTAATCAGATAAGAGGCACTTGCCTGCTATTGCATCAATAGAAATTTTAAGTTGAAGGATAAGTACTGCATAAGTACTGTTATCCTGGAGTTTTGATGGCAAGATTTATTTGGAACTGCACCTGCCTTGGGGAAGATGCCTCCTTAAGTGGAGAAGTGTTTCATGATCTCAGTGTACATTTTAAAATGAGTTGTAAACCATAGATCTATTTTTTTAAATGTTAAGGTTTAAATTGTATTCTATTCAAAATATATCACTGTTAAATTATATATCTGCTTTAAATGGGCTTATTAGCCTTTTGTGGATTATTGATGTAGATGTAGATGCCTGCTTGCACCCATCAGACGAGAACAATAAAGTAGTTTTCAAAGTGTGCTAAAAACTTACTTGAAATTACGCAAGACATCTCCCCCCTCATTTGTTAACATCTTAAACTCTGCAAGTATTTCCATAGCTGTAACAGCTCCTACTCCTTGTAAACCTGGGGTGTAGTCACTACCACATAAAAGAGCTATAGATATCATGTCTTCTCTAGTCAGAGCTGAAATCAGACAATGAATAAATGTATGTTTCTTGTAGTGATACATGTAGTAATATTCTGGTAGTTCTATGTAGTTAAATTTGTTTGCACCATGTCAAAAGGCTGAACTATTCGTATATTTTTACCACGGAAATCTGAATTGTGAGATTCAGAATTCCGCACCCACTTGAGATATAATTCTGGGGAGATCACTGAATTATATGAGCTCTGCAAAGGGTAAATACCTACCCAGCTGTGAACGAATGTCTACACCTCTATAGAGTTCAACATGACGATTCTGGTTGAAAAAGTTCTTGTAGACATGTTTAGCTCCAAACAACCAGATGTCACTGTCATCTGTAATTGAGCCATTTGATTGGCCAGTTAGATCGAGATATGCACACTGGGCTTCTGCCTCCATTGGACTTACGATAAATGGGAGACCGAATAATTGTAACAAATCCTGAAAAATAAGAGATAAACAAGGGATTAACATGCAAAATGTTACTACCTGCCATTTGTTACAGACATCAATCGATATTTAGATTTTACCAAATAGTGGACGGATAAGAGTGAACAAAATGAGAAGATTTCATATAAGAATCCATATAAACTATAAAAGAGTTTGTTACCATGGTTACATGTGTTAGTTACCTGTGCCTCCTGGTGCATTTGGTCAGTAATAGATGTCGCCACTCTCTCCTGATCGCTCCGCTTTTTTTCCAGGTCAATATTTTCAAGGTAAAGATCATTTGCCATCTCCCCAAGATCTTCCTGTTATAACCATTAAAAACATTCAATGTTGAGCGCATTATATTACAAATTTCCGTGATAGGTCAAATACATGTATTTTACCTAAAATCTCATTTTGCACCATTTTCCATCCCCTCTACGCAAGAAAACAATGTTATAATACTGTTAAAAAACATTGAGAAAAGGTTTGTTCAACATTAGTAAAGGCACGATGGTTGCGTAAATCCATTTGAGATCACTGGATGAAAAACTTACATTTGTGATTCCCTGCAGTGGAGTAATATCCTTCAGAGAACTACTTTTCTCCTCTGTGTGATGAGGCTCTGAGGTAGTGAAGAGGCTCACAGGAAATAGATCCACATCTGGCTGAGATGAAGTTCCCAAATCAATATTTATAACCATGGATTTTTCTACAATTAAAGAGGACAGAGATCATTTTGGAAAAAAATGAATGAAACATAGACTTGCATTCAGGCTTCATAAATCTATATCCCCATAATCTTGACGTCTTGGTAAGTACTGAGTAATTCAAAAGGACAGATACATGTCCTTTGTAAAGAAAGTAATTTTTCAATAAAATAATAGTAATAACATTTTACATAAGCCAACATGCACAATAAATCCAGTGATCTTCCAAGGATTTTTTTCAACTGGGTTCTAAATCCTCATGTTTTTTGGTCAAAATATCCCAAATTTAAATTTGTGCTTTTTACAGGGTACAGAGATTTTCAACTTGGGGGAGGGGGCATGCAATTTTCAGACTTTCAATTGGTTACTGCACCTGATTTCTCTAATGCTGGGGAGATCACTGGAAGCTTATATTTAGAAAAAAATAGCTTAATCAAGGGGAAGGGGAACCACTCTTTAATAAATCCATTTGATGAGAAAAATTTTATTGGGATTTTGATCTGTCTGCTAATTTGAGTGAAGGTATTATTACATAAATTGAAACTGAATGTTATACCTGTGTCAGAACTTGAGTCAGTTGAATTGGGCATCTTTGACCTTTTGGGCAGATTTCCAGCACTTTCATCATCTGTCAGGGCCCTCTTTCTGTCATCATTAGAAGTAGTTTTTATAACTGACTGAGAACTGGTTGGCGTTGCAGTGTCATTGGGATGGACTGAGTCAGTTTTAGAGTCTTGGCCAATCAACATCTCTGATTGGTTCTCAATATCAATACCATACTTGGGTATGTTTTGGACATAGTCATGTATATCAGCATCCGGAATATCCAGTTGTATAAAATCATTTCTTTCAGGATTTCCAACTCTTGCATCATTTCTTTGCTCAATGTGTGATTTGGCAGACCTAACATCATCAATTTCAACTGTTTCCTGTTTGACTTTAGGGTTGTCTTTATTGTTAGCATCGTAGGAGTTTGATTCCTCATCGGGAAGTTCAAGTTGAATATATTGAGGGCTACTTCTGCTAATTGGTAGATTTTCCTCAGCTTTACACTCAGCATTATCCAGTGGTTCGTCAAATTTGGTTTCAATGTTTCCAGCTTTTAGAGTCTCAACCTGTTTTTTCAAGGCGGACAGTATGTCTAACCGTGCTTGAGTTGCTGCATCATTTGCATCTGCTTTTATTGGAGTTTTATTGGATTTTTCTTGAGCTGAGTCGATATTGTTTTGAGCTTCAGCATTTACATCATTTGTTATTTCGTTAGGTTCATTGTCCGTATCATTTATGAAACCTCCACTCATATTGTCTTCATGTTCACTATCACTTTCCGGTATAAAGCCACCTGCAGTTGAAAAATCCATTTCCATATTTTCTTCTTTCAATGTTTCTACTCTATTGGCATTTTCATTGATTTCATCATCATCAATGGTTATCACATTTTTCGTTATTTCTTTATTTTCAGTATTATAAGTATTCAATGTAGAGTTCAAGGTTTGCACATCATTAGTTGCTGAAATTTCATTTTGTTTGATCGGTTTTGATTTTTTCACTTTCCATGGAGTCAGTCCCGATTTTGTACTTTTTTCATAACCAGTCTCAGTCTCTTCAAAGGAAATGTCTTCAATTATATCAGGTTCACTTTTTTCTAGTGATTCATTTTCAACAGTTTCCTTTTTATTCTCCACATATTCACTAAATGGCAAACTTCCCGCCTTTAGTTCCAGCAGACGTTCTTTGGCAACATTAATATTTAAAGTCCGTCCCTCTTCATCCACCATGTCGTAAATACTTTGAGGAGCATTCTTTAATCCTTTTATTAAAACATAATGTGCAGCATCTTCTGACATCACACGATTTGACTCAACTTCATCCCCGAAGTCGAAATTCAATGGGGCAGCACCTACAGATTTCAAATTCATTTCTTTACGCAAGTCCTCAATTTTAGAGCTCAATTTATTCTGTTTTAAGAGTTTGGTGATTTGAAAGCTTGAGAAATCGTTTGCATCCTGGAACATAAAATGATCACTAACATTGTAAACACAGTTAGGAAATAAGTCAATGGGGAAGTTAAGCTACACATTCCTAAAAAACTTGTACATGAACGTGTACAACTATTGAACCTTAAAGAATGAGTCCACCTTAGTGGTATTTAACAGTTTAGTAAATTGAAATCGACAAAGAAAATTGTCAAGCTCATAGTCAAAACAATATAATTGTATGAAAATAACCAGTGCATCGCTTTTTTGGAGCCTGGCTATACGCCTGGCAAAAAGCTACAGAAAATTGAAATTCATCCAAACCTCTGGTAAATCTCCTTGAACCTCATAGTTCTCTTTCCTTCTCTGTCTTATCTCCATCAAAACCTCATGCTGGACCTCAGGTGGCATATCTTTGAATTCTTCAGACTCAACGTCTATTGCTTCAATGTTCTGATATTCTTTCTGAAATGAGATTTCCACTTAATGTTATATACAGTAAAACCTGTATATAAGAACACCTCTTCAATCTGAACACCTCAAAATGTAAACACTTTTGTTAGTCCAATATGATTAATATACCATAGGCTTCCATTTTAAAATAACTTGAAACAAAAACACCTGTCAATTAGAATGCTTTTCCCCGCTGGTGGACCCAGTGACGTTCAGATTAGACAGGTTTTACTGTATATCTTTTTTACTGTCAGAAAAATACATTTCAGTGAACAAACCAGGGCCAAGGGGCCTAAGCTCTAAGCTTTTATTGAGACATTATCTCTCATTTGAGGAAAAAACATTTCTTAAAAGCAGTCACAGCTGAATTTACTCTAGTAGCTCATGCTAGTTGAGTATGCACTTCTATGTCCAGAGATTTTCTCTTCAGAAATCATCTATGTGAAGGTCATTGATCAATTTTGGCTTGGTAACATATTTGCCACAGAAGGCGAAATAGGTCAAATGGCCACGCCCGTTTTTACGCGAATTCTCCCCCCCCCCATTTTTGCATCTCCGGAACCGTTGGACATAGAAGGTTGTGTGACCACTCAAAATGTCCGGAATGGCTACATTATAGGGGGTCAATAATACATATGTATTTAAAAAAGTCAATGGTTCTCAAGATATTTGCCAAAAACTGATTTTAGCATGTTACGCACAACAGTTTTCATCTATCCTGCATCATTTAAGACTGAATCCGCAGCCTCTATCTAGTCAGATCAGCGAAGGAAACAAACTTTTTTGGTTGTTGAGTTGGCCAAGAGGTCTTAGGTGAATGGGTACCCTAAACCACGAGGTTGCGAGTTTGAGACACGTGTGCTCCGTATGTTCATTCTTTTATGAGTACCATATCTAGTATGTACAAGGAATGCTGATGTATTATGAGTATTGAATATCGATTGAGTTTAATTATAAACCACGAGGTTGTGAGTTTGAGACACATGTGCTCCTTGTGTTCATTCTTTAATGAGTACTAGTATCTACAACTAGTTATCACTAGTTTTCATGTTATGTGTGGCTATCAATTGAGTTTATTTATGCGAATTTCTACACTTTGTGCCTTTACTACATCCACAAAACACAACACATTTTATGTCCATTGCTCTGCAGGTGCATGTCTTGGAACTAATGCAGGATGTTGGGTATTTGCATGGAGGAGGTAGGTCATCAGGCCTGCATGGAACTGGTAGTATTACAGGTGTAATACCATCATCTGTTGCTTTATAGCCATACTGGCATGGATCTGGTGTGATGACTTCAGGAATTGGAGCTTGTAACCACATCTTGCACTGCAGATATGCCCGCTTTATGTGTTCCTGTAGAGTTGCTGAGCAGCACACAAGTTGGTTAAAATCAATGTCTTTCTTTGAGTTGTGGTACTGTTCCCACCGATATTCATCAAATGTGGAACAGTCTGTCTTCTTCAAACCGGATACAAGGAACTTCTCTGCATTCTTAATCATTTCTGGTGTAAGTTCCTCGACACCAAACCCTTCCAAAAGCAAGAGATCCATGGCTGATTTCATACCAGATAGTTTTGGACCAACTTTGCTGGTACTGTCACACCCGCTAAGTGCATGAATGGCTGGGAGACACGATACCAAATTGTTGTCCAGTTGATCAACTAACAGATGGACTGGAACAGTTTTCTTGTTTTTACAGTTACCAAGCTTTACAAACAGCTTCTGTAGTTGCCAGGTCTTTTTGCTGTGGAAGATGAGGTTGACAAAGACATCTGTGTCAGGTGAGTCAACCAAGACTGATTGAACCCCATGATTCACAACACCATCATTGATATGGAACATGATTCTATCATCAGCTTCTTCTTGATTGCTTGAGAGCTCTACAATCTGCGTTTCAGTTCCAGCTTTCAGTCTTCTACATTCACCCCCATGTACTCCTCCAAAGATAATTTCCTTTTCTGACATAACATTCCTTAGCATCCACTTGAATACATACTCTTGCAACCTTACTTTGTTCATCATTGAGCTCCAGAACATATCAAGATCAACAGGGAGTTTCTGATTGTCAGACCTAATAGAGATAGTGATTTCTTCTGAAGAACTTCTCTGGGCACGTTCCATTTGCTTGATTGATGATTTTTGATACACATCAAAAATAACATCTATTCTTGTGGAGTTGGAACCTTTAGCCAGGATGATGCTGATGATAGAATCATGTTCCATATCAATGATGGTGTTGTAAATCATGGGGTTCAATCAGTCTTGGTTGACTCACCTGACACAGATGTCTTTGTCAACCTCATCTTCCACATCAAAAAGACCTGGCAACTACAGAAGCTGTTTGTAAAGCTTGGAAACTGTAAAAACAAGATAACTGTTCCAGTCCACCTGTTAGTTGATCAACTGGACAACAATTTGGTATCGTGTCTTGATATTCAATACTCATAATACATCAGCATTCCTTGTACATACTAGATATGGTACTCATAAAAGAATGAACATGCGGAGCACACGTGTCTCAAACTCGCAACCTCGTGGTTTAGGGTACCCATTCACCTAAAACCTCTTGGCCAACTCAACAACCAAAAAAGTTTGTTTCCTTCGCTGATCTGACTAGATAGAGGCTGCGGATTCAGTCTTAAATGATGCAGGATAGATGAAAACTGTTGTGCGTAACATGCTAAAATCAGTTTTTGGCAAATATCTGGGGAACCATTGACTTTTTTAAATACATATGTATTATTGACCCCCTATAATGTGGCCATTCCGGACATTTTGAGTGGTCACACAACCTTCTATGTCCAACAGTTCCGGAGATGCAAAAATGGGGGGGGGAGAATTCGCGTAAAAAAGGGCGTGGCCATTTGACCTATTTCGCCTTCTGTGGCAAATATGTTACCAAGCCAAAATTGATCAATGACCTTCACATAGATGATTTCTGAAGAGAAAATCTCTGGACATAGAAGTGCATACTCAACCAGCATGAGCTACTGGAGTAAAATGCATTAATACCACTGGTAATTCAAATAGATGTTTTGTTTGTACATTTTAATTGTGACTCAAATGTTCCGAACTATTCCCAAATTGTTCAATTCCGAAGCCAAATGTTCCGAATCGAACCATTCCAATTTTCTTTTGTTCCATAACACCTCTGGTATACATGCCGACTTTATCCCTCCAAGCTCAAAAGCATGACTCACCTCAATTTCTTTCAATCGCTCGTGTCTGTCTGACCAATCATAGTCCATGTCATCTTCACTGCAAATTCAAATGAATTCTACAAGTACTTGTACATACAGTGTAGATTCATGTGTCGAATATATGTATAACTGAACACCTTTCTAATCAGGAACACTTTTTCTTGATCCAAATTCTCCCACTGATATGCATATTAAAAACCTTGAAAAACTTAACACTTTTGACTGGCCTAAGTGATATACCATATCTCTGGTTAGAGTATTTTTCAATACATAACAGTTGGTAAATGTAAACAAAAATCAGAAGAATCCCAAAATACTACATACCCATCTATAGAGTCTGGCAAAGGAGGTAGATCATAAATATCTGCAGGTGCATTCTGGGAGGTAGGTGGCAGCATTGGGGCTGTCTGTTCTTGTCCAGTTTCTGCCATGATGGTTCTTATCGCCTGTGACTTCATATAGTTTTTCAAGATTTTTTCTGAAGTCTTACTTGAAGCCCTGTTTGCTACTTCTTTTGTCAGACGACGTGCTGCCTAAATTGTAACAATATGTAGAATATTCGCATCATAATAAAGAATAACTATGTCATGTACAATCTTACAATTGACTTAAATATGGTGAAGCTGTATTTTGAAGAGAAGTGTACAAAAATCTACAGACCAAAGGGCATCTAAATAGAAATCATTTTTAAATAAAGATGGCAGCCTAAATATAGCGCAATAATTCAAGATGAGATTTTCTAGATCCTAAAATGAACGATCAACAAACTTATTCATATTCTCCAGTGGCAGATCCCTTTAGTGCTTTAGTGGGCCAAGAAATTTTTTTAGTTTTTGGGCCCAAAAAAAATTGTATGGCCTTTTTGGCTGATTTATCAAAAAAGGGAAATTTTTTCCAAACTCAACATTTGGTGCCCCCTTGTTGATTTCTGGATCCGCCACTGTTCTCCCAGCTTAAAATTGAGGATATATGCAATTTACCATAGTCTGGCGCTTGAGAGCGGGGACACCTCCATCAAACACAAATATCGGCTTGATCTGGTAAAACAACAGCTTGCATACTCTGTTAAACAGACCTGGAAATAAAACACCCCTAAACAATAATATAAATTAGTGTATTCATTCAATATGGATGAGTCTATCTCAGTAACTAACAATATGAAAGGGGTGTCAAATTTGTTTTAAAACATGGACAAAACGATGGAGATGATTTTAAATACTGCTGATAGGTGGCACACCAATTGGCCTCATTCTGGTTTTTATGTTTTTATTTTCTACAATCTGTTAGCTTACATAATGTATACATTATTGTTTCTGGTATAGTTGCACACAAACTAACAAACATAGTTAAAAAATATTTCTGCTGCTGAAGTAATTTTGTAGAACATTGAATTTGTCCAAGACTTACCTATGAGATGTGCATTTGGTAGCGGATTGCCTGACTTGTCTCTCATGCCCTTCATGTACTGATGCAGCCAAATACTTACATCTTTCACAGTTAAGAGAAGTATCTACTTGTTATATGCATGTTATAGACAACATTTCTCATATCCTTAATAACTATTTCCATGTAAAATCATAATTTACCACAATTTTGTGTTAATAGGCCTTCATTCAAACTCAAAGCTATCGATTTGTGATGTCATTTCTCAAATTTCCAGGAAATTTGTTACTTTCAATTAAATGCTCAAGGTGTCAATTACAAGAGACTAGAGGAAGATTAAAAATCTGTACAGAGGTAACACTTCTCATACATGGATCCTCCGCCATTAATAAACTTTAAGTGATTTTAATATTCAAGGATACCGACTGCTAAAATCTTTCCCTCTAAAGATTCCAGTGTGACAGGACGTCCTACTGGCTCTAAAAGTGACCATAATCCTTGTACTCCCATTTTTCATATGTGTAGTAACTACAAATAAAATTATTTGAGCCCAGAAATTTGGGTTAGTTACTAATCACCAGTATCTGCCTGTGCTGTTTAATAATTCTTCAACATCTCTCAGTTATATTGTTCCGATTTGGTGTCCTATGTGTATTACATTCTCGTACCTGTTTGTAGAGTGGTGACTTGGATACTTTTGGTACATGCGGTAACAACACTGGAATTAATATAAACAATAATGAAATTATGGATTTGTAACGGTAAATCTTGAAGTATTTATCACTATTGACTCAGTTGTTCATCTAGTTTCACTCACCTTAGATGCTTAGTAATCTATTTAGTATAATATTGTTTCCAAAATTATTGTCATTTGCGATAATTAGTACTAAAAGTACTTTGAACAGGTCAGCTGCCATTTGCTTGGCCCAATCGTACCAGGTCACAAAAACAGTTAAATCATATTAAAAATACCAATAAAACTTTAAAATTGAGGCAGATGCGATACAGAGAGACTCTATTAAAACTGATATACAGGTTACAGTCACCAAGATGAGCTAATTTCAGGCGAGATTCAGGAAATAAAAAGGTGGGTCATTCTTGTTTCCAGTCCTCTTAAATAATCTATGCTCCGGCTTTCGCCAGAAACTTACTTGACGTCCGTGAGGACTACTTGATCTGAATGGATGCGACGATTCGATGGGCTGAGATTTGAGAAATTATAATTGGAAATTTATCAATTTCACATGTTTTTCGATGGACATAAAAGTAAGTTGCTGTGAAGAATTCTGATTCTTTCTCACTCACCTAACTGGAATTTTAATATTTCTGAGAGAATCACAGATCAGAAAGTTGAAAAATTTACAAATCATTTCGCTACATTCAGATATTTCGAAGTGTTTGAGAATTCAAACAGCTTCATAAGACCCATATTTACTCCTAGAAGGTATACAATACTGAAATATGACCTTGTTATAAACATCGCATACCTTGGATCACAAATATCAGCTTTTTAAGCATAGTTTGCAAGTTTTAATTTTTTTTTCTTTTTCTGAAGACCTCTTAGAAAAGTCACAAATTATGTGACCTTGTCAAATAGACCGAGTATATAAAATGTAATGTTAACGGCAAAGCATTCTTCATTTATAACACAATCTATTCTCATTGTTTCTTCAAAGAGTATTAGAAACTGATGGTTTTAGAGACTTGGCTTTGAAGATGAGTTCAACCGGAAATCAGAAGAGGTCCATTATGCGCACGCATCTGCACGTGGAAAACAAGAATGGCTGAAATCGGTGAGAGAATATCCCATTATTTTATTTACTGTTATTCATGTATTCTCATAATGATGAGTCCATGCAATCTGAAAACATAAATTAAATACGTTGGCTGTTAAGTCTTCCTAATTTGATTGACTTTGCGAACTGAGATGGGACAGTTTACAGAGTTCAAATTGTTCATGTTTTTGATTTTCCCCCAAAATAATTTTTGAATATTTTTTTCAGTGAGTTCTAGTCCCCAATTATAAAATTGTCATACATTTTATGTTACAATAATGGCTCTGTCAAAACCTTTATTATCTCATGTGAATCTTTGGTGCAGTACTTACTGATTACATTCGCTGTTAAAAGAATGCATATTCGTATTCTAGATCTACATGTCAGATGTAGTCGTTCGAACTCGAATCCAATCTGTACGTTTTGGTCTTGGGAGCCTTGCCGTGTAGGATAATGTCAACCTCAACACTTATCTGTTTGAAATTAGGGTTTCCGTTTTCAGACATGTTTGATTTAAAAAAATTAAATCTTAGTAAGATCTCCATTAGAGGTTATCACATCCTACGACCCCTTTAGATTGTGGTCGTATGCCCAATTCATTGGTAAGCCTGTCTTTCTTCAATGTCGGAGAATGAAGTCCGCATTGCACTATTAAATGGCCTACCTCGATACATTCCAGAGTATTTTAGAATTCTTTTTTATGTTGTTAGATCGCCAATTGTATGGGTTTATCGGCAGAACGAAGATATTTTCGTTTTTGATAGCAATATTTGCGTGTAATATTTAACTTATTTCAACCGTCAAATTCCTTCATTCAGTTCCCGGCATGCACCAGTCATAAGGGAAATCCCTGGGGAATTCCCCTTCCAACATTTTGAAAATTGCTGACATATTTCTGATGTAAAAACTAAAATCTCTTCGTTCTGCCGATAAACCCATACAATTGGCAATCTAACAACATAAAAAGAATTCTAAAATACTCTGAAATGTATCGAGGTAGGTCATTTAATAGTGCAATGCGGACTTCGTTCTCCGACATTGAAGAAAGACAGGCTTACCAATGAATCGGGCGTACGACCACAATCTAAAGGGGTCGTAGGATGCGATAACATTAGAGGTCATAATGAAACTGAATTATCCCGTGCCAGGACTATAGTCCTGAGAACGTCTCAATCTTTTGCCTGTACGATTACAACATGGGAGAATTTTCTACCCCTGTTACACTTAGATACCTACTTCAATAGATTCCTTGGAATTTTAGCATTATTTTCGTGTAGTTGAATCCACAATTATCTGGTTTATTGGCAGAATGAAGATATTTTTGTTTTTGATCGCAATATTTGGGTGTAATATTTAACTTATTTCAACTGTCAAATTCCTCCATTTATTGGTACTTCCGGGCCAGTCAAACGGAAACGAAACTTCTTCACTGAGCTAATGAGAAAATAAACCTCAGAGAAAACTTGTTGAAACATCATTTCCATGTGAAATTAACAAAATATTCAATTTTGACCTATGTCTTCTACAATAACATGTAATTGTTCAAGTAAATGGGCTCATAACCAAAAAATGTTTTGTGTTTTCAGAAGCAAAGAAGGAAAAGAAGAAGAAAAAGAGCAAAGATGTTGGAGTAAGTTCAGTTGATATTATTTTATGACTTTATTCGGTCATTTTTCCACATATTGTATTCAAATGTTTGTATGAAATCAGACCCCTCTTACAATTGTATAAAATGCCTTGAGCTTTGCAGACTTGTTTTTTAAAATACTCCCCTTTGTAAATAACTATATAGTGCTGTGTGTACAGTGTACTACTGGAAAAAAATGACAACCACATTTTTATGCAATCCATTTTTTAAATCCAATCGTTCTTTCAGGACATCCAACACTCAGAATCATTTACAATACAGCCAAGCTCCAAGCAGGAGAAGCTAGACACTGCAGATTGGCCCCTGTTGCTAAAGGTAGGTCTCATCTCCTGTAGTCATGGTAACTGTTGCTTCCTGTAGTCATGGTAACTGTTGCTTCCTGTAGTCATGGTAACTGTTGATTTCTGTAGTCATGGTAACAATGATGAAGTATTATTATTATTATGAGTCAATATGTTGATGCATTTCAGGATTATGATAGTCAATGTCTGGTACTGATGCTTGTTATATTTTCAGAACTATGATAAACTGAATGTGCGAACCAATCACTACACACCAATTCCAAATGGCTGCTCACCATTGAAGCGACCCATAGGGGAATATATAAAGTAAGTTATTTATAACACTAATAGTACAACATTATGACCATTGTCATGCATTATATTTAAAGAATAATGCAAATATAGTCAATTTGATTTGTTTGAACTTACCAAAACAAGAAAAAATCGATATTTTAGTTTTCAAAGTAAGTTTTTCCTTCAAAGCTGATAAACTTTCTAATGAAGTAATATGGGATATTTAATTAAGAAAAACCAAGATTATTTCTACCTTTATCTAGTCTATCATGTCACAATCACAATTGGTGACATATAGATATGGTCTCCAAACTTTTTGTGTTTGGAAGTTGTTGTTCAGCATCTGTAACAAGTGGCATGTGATGACATTTGCATTAATTAATGTTTTCTGGTGGTGTTTCCAGGACAGGATTCATCAATTTAGATAAGCCTGCCAATCCCTCCTCCCATGAAGTCGTAGCATGGATAAAGAGGATCTTGAGGGTGGAGAAAACTGGTCACAGTGGTACCCTTGATCCTAAAGTCACAGGTAATACACATGTTAGAGATATACAGTAGAACCTGTCTAAATGGAACACCTTTGGTACTTTTAAAAAGTGTTCCACTTATAGAGGTTCACTTAACATTAAGTCAGCTGGTCTTGGGACTCTCAAAATGTTCCCTAGCAGAGGTTTTCTACTTCTAGAGGTATTACATTTTACAGGTTTCACTGTAATTCCGACATTGGGACAGCCATAGACAGGTGCTACGCCCAAATCTAATTATCCCATCGAACGAAGTTCGGAGGGATATAGGGAACGCCTCCGTCCGTACGTACGGACGTCCGTCCGTCCGTCCGGGCAATAACTCAAATACCGATGGCCCGATTTTGTTCATATTTTGTACACATATACCCAATGGGGGTAGAAGTTCTGCTCGAAAACCAATTTTCAAAATGGCTGCTCATTTAAAAATGGCGGCCATTTTAGTGCCGATTTTACAGTAATTTAGGTACTACATATAAAACTGTAATAGCAATATGTTTTAAATGTAAAAAAGTTATATATGACATTGATTAAGTTTTCAATGTAAATATAGAAGAAATACATGGCAGCCATCTTGAAAAATGGCTGCCTTTGCACGTCATTTTTGCTGTAACTTGAAAAGTAGTGGAGCGATTTTGTTCATATTTGGTATGTGAATACTTTAAGCATGGCCCAATATCTGATGACATTTTGGGTAGTAGGCGCCCATTTTGAAAAATGGCCGCCATTTTTATGTGTGTTATTTTACTTTTTTTTTTACTATAACTCAAAAAGTAGTAGAGCGATTTTGTTCATATTTTATATGTGAATACTATAAGCATGGCACGCTGTCCAATAACACTTTGGGTAGTAGGCGGCCATTTTGAAAAATGGCCACCATTTTTACGTTTTTGACTATAACTTGAAAAGTAGTGGAGCGATTTTGTTCATATTTGATATGTGAATTCTCATGAGCCTTCCACACTGTCTCATGACACTTCACGTAGTAGGCAGCCATTTTAAAAATGGCTGTCATTTTTACATTTTTTACTATAACTCGAAAAGTATGGGAGTGATTTTGTTCATATTTGATATGTGAATACTTTAAGCATGGCACATAGTCTAATAAAACTTTGGAGAGTAGTCGGCCATTTTAAAAAATGGCCACCATTTTTATGTGTGTTATTTTACATTTTACATTATTTTATCAAAACTCAAAAAGTAATAGAGCGATTTTGTTCATATTTGATATGTGAATATTTGTAAAGATTGCATACTGTCTTATGACATTTTGGGTAGTAGGCGACAAATTTAAAAAATGACCAGCATTTACATGTATGTGTGTGACATTTTTTAAAAATTTTATATGTGGCTACTTAAAAGCATATTACTTCTTCTGATGACAACTTGGCTAATGAGCAACCATTTTGAAAATGGTGGCCTTTCTTATGGGTGTTATTTTATGATTCTATATATTTCGTTTGTAAAAATGCCAGCCATTTCTGTTCGATGGGATTCACTACGCTTTGGTGTTGCCGTTGTTCTAGTTTTGAATTTAAAATATTTACACCGTCATCAGAGGCTTCCTAAAAAATTTTGATTTAAACTTGCTTGTAAGAGTGCAGAGGCTTAATTCTTGCACATGATAGTTTTTTTATGTTTTTGTTTACAGGTTGCCTAATCGTATGTATAGAGCGGGCCACTAGGCTAGTGAAATCACAACAAGGTGCTGGTAAAGAGTATGTGTGTATCTTCCGCCTTCATAGTGCAGTCGATAATGAAAAGAAAGTCCTCCAGGTAAGCAAGAATATGAGCTGAGATATAAAGGTGGCGACAGAATCGATTATTGGTTGGTCAACTTATTGCAGTTAATTGGACTGTGCCGATATCTAATGTACATTCGTCACACTTTTGTTTATATCTGCATTGTTGTCAAACATATTTGTTCAAAATTAAATTTTGAACTCACTTGTCCTTCAAACCATCTTTTCATCACTGGAGGCTGGGGTAAGTTGGGAGTATGATGCGAGACGTCTGAACCATCTGCACCCTTGATAATTAAAATGTTAGTGATTTTATTTACTTGTTTCGTTTATTTAATTATTGTATTTTTTCAGTGTATGGAGACTTTAACAGGGGCCCTTTTCCAGAGACCTCCTCTAATATCTGCCGTTAAACGACAACTAAGGGTACGCACAATATATGAAAGCAAAATGCTGGAATATGACAAAGAGAGACAGCTAGGTAGGTTTATGTTGGAAATGTTTAAACTGATTTTTGTTCATGTTTAATAGATAATGTTAAAAACGAGGACATGTTTAGTTTGCAATATTGATTACTAAAGTTATTGATACAAAAATACCTTGCTATTGTAATGAACTTGTCCATTTGGATGAGGTTATAATAAACTTGTCTAAAAGGGTAGTCAGCATGAATTTCAATTTGACACCCCTTCAGTGTTGTCTGTTGCTCATATAAACTCTCCCAAAATGATTGCATGGGTAAGTCCATGTTGCAAGAAAGGGGTGTAGAGTACAAGTGCGTTCACTCTTACTGCAGGTATACTGTGGGTGAGCTGTGAGGCTGGCACATACATAAGAACACTCTGCGTACATATTGGGTTGCTGCTAGGAGTCGGAGGTCAAATGCAAGAGCTCCGACGAGTTCGTTCGGGAATCCAATCAGAAAAGGTTTGAATTTAGTGGAACCACTTCTTTGCAACTACATGTAACTTTAAATGCTTTGGCAAAACTCACCAAAAGATCACTGAGATTTGACACTCATTCAATAAACACAGTTGCATATGCATAATAAAATATTATTCCCACAAAATGAATTAATTTATGGGAATCATTGAAACATATTACCCATGATGCAATAACTGGATGTTTTGTTTCCCAGGATGCAATGTACACAATGCATGACGTGTTAGATGCTCAATGGCAACTAGACCATAACAAAGATGAGGCTTATCTGAGACGTGTCATTAAACCACTAGAGGCTCTACTTGTATCACACAAACGCATCATCATGAAAGATTCTGCGGTAGGTCAAATTATGCACATACATGTCATTCTTTGCTTTTCATTACACATAAACTACCATTTTTTGTGTCGGGGGGATTGGTGTCGGCATCTGTAACCATTTGTAAATCTTATCATGTAGTGAAGTTTTGTCAGCCTATGTCCGTATTTGAATGTTGCCTGTATGAGTAAATTGCTAATTTGATTGATCTAACTGTTCTACACTCTTATAATCACCCTTTAATGTGTTTTTTTGATTTTCTAGATTACTAATGTTCATGGATATGGAATGTTAATATCCACATCGCTCATTGTTGTGTAAAACTAATAACTATTGTCAGTTGTACATAAGAGCCTAAATTTAGTAATATGTAAATGAAAAAGAAATTGAATAAATATTTGTGCTTGTAGGTGAATGCTGTGTGTTATGGTGCCAAAGTAATGTTACCTGGTGTATTACGCTATGACGATGGTATCGAGGTGAATGATGAGATCGTCATAGTAACAACTAAAGGAGAAGCAATAGCTCTAGGTAAGGATCAAAACAACTTGTAAAGTTTTCTATCTTACATATCAAGTCATTTAATATGCTCACTGGCGAGAAATTAAGGATTTGTTTCTATTTGCAGCCATGGATCAATCAACTTGCAAAGTTCTACAAAAAAATCTTTTTACAAAGTCTTACATATCAAGTCATTATCCCAACGAACGAAGTTCGGTAGGGATATAGTGAAGCCCTCCGTCCGTCAGTCCGTCAGTCAGTCCATCAGTCCGTCCGGAAGATAACTCAAATACGAGTTGACGGATTTTCTTCATATTCAGTGGAAAGATGTATATTGGTGAATAGTTGTACGCAAAAAAAAAAAATTTCAAGATGGTCGCCGCTTTAAAAATGACGGGACTTTTTCGCAAAAACCATAAATTTTTCATTCTAAACCAAAGTAATTCATATTATTGTTTGAAATTTTGGTAGTATATTCGCAACATCTATCTATTTCACATATATTCCGTGTTTTTCATCCTGACCCCCAGGGGCCGTGTATGGGGGGTCAGGAAAACAGTAATTTTTGCTAATTTTTAGATCTTTCTGAAGTATAGCTTTATTATACTCAAATGAAAGGCAATTAAGAGTAGATTGCAAATATTGTATCTTTTTTCTGATTCGAGCCTCGTAAAATTCAAAATGGCCGTCTAATGTACGATTTCGCAATAATTTTTCGATCCCTTCAAAGTATGGCTATATAATACTCAAATTGAAGGAATTTTGGAGTGGATCACAATTATGGTATTATTCTTCAGATTTGTACCTCAGAAAATTCAAAATGGCTGCTTTACAGGAATTCGCAATTCTAAAATCTAAATTTTTCAATTTTAACCAAAGAAATGAGTATAATTGATTGGAATTCGGTAATTGATATTTTGTTCGTTGGGATTTGCTACTCCGCGGAGTTGCCATTGTCTAGTTTAATATGTGAAGATTAGAACTGGCAAAAAATTAAAGATTTGTTTTGTATTTGCAGCCATAGCCCAAATGACCACTGCTGTAATAGCAACATGTGATCATGGTTTGGTGGCAAAATTGAAGCGGGTCATAATGGAACGGGACACATACCCCAGGAAGTGGGGCTTGGGACCAAAAGTAAGTCAACATTAACCAAAAAAGAATGATGTAGTATATCATGAACATGTCAAGTTTTAGATATTTCTTAGTTTGATATGAGAATTTCTACCCAATTTGATTTTTAAAGAACTGTTAAAACAAATGAGATTAAATCTCTGATTCTAATTAAAGTTCAACAAAAAAATGTTTATTTTTTATTTTCCAGGCCACAATGAAGAAAGGTCTTATGAAGCAAGGTTTATTAGACAAATATGGTAGACCTAATGACAAAACACCAAAAGACTGGTCAACATCATACACAGATTATAAGTAAGTGAGCTGTTTGTATACTTTCCGTTTCCAATATCTATTATGAAAATATTTAAATCGGAGTACAATTTTTTGTCACCACCACAATTGGTGACAAATAATTATAGTCCATTTTTTGTGACATTAGTTAGCGTCTGGTGTTCGATGTCTGAAACAAATGGCAGGTGGTAACATTTTGCACATTTATGCCTGGTTTTGAATTTTGACTTACCTTATGAAGTTATGGGCCTGTTGAATCACCCACTCTGCAAGTATTTTATCCTGGTAAAGTCTCCTACTCTGATTCCCTTTGCATAAATCAGCTTTTTTCACTCTCTGAATTCACCAAGTGTTGCCAATTTTTAAACCTTTTCAAATAAGTTTTCATATAGTGTATGAAACATTGCAAAGCTATATCAATGGATTCTCACTTATCAATGTAAACAGGAGCTTCTCAAGCTATATGCATACATATGTAATTGTTGTTGAATTTATATTGCAGCTTAAAGAAAGAGAATGGCATCAGTGACAGTACTCCCAGCACTCCTACAGCTGCTCCAGCTGCTCCACAAAAGGTTAGTATTTCAATTGTGATGTCATGAATATTTAATTATGATGTAATGAATATTCAGATGTTATGCCAATGGTACATAATGGCTGCATCATGTTTGTTAAATGTGATGTTTTAATTATTTTTATTGTAAAATGAAAGGGATTTCTCAACCATTGAAACAGTGGGGGCTTTATCGACTTGAGGTTTTGAAAACAAGATTGGCCCCAACCAAAATCCAAAAGCATTTTTTTGAAATTGGGAAAATTACGCTAAATTGCCCTATCTTGTTCTAAATTGTGAGACTTATTAACAAACACTTGAGTAAAATTCTAAATGCAGTTCTGGTTGATGATGTGATGATTGCATTTTCATCTATATTCCTTACTCAAATGAATTTCCTTGATTTCAAATCTTTTAACTGAAACCAGAATACTTTTGTAATGAAAACATGTCATCCAATTAGTCAATGAAACCCTGTGGGAAAATAATATCTGGAAGTGGTCTCCAACAAACCAAAAATCAAAAGAACACTTTTTGAACCTACAAGCTTTCATTGATTCAAAATTCATGTTCTAGATACATGAACAAGCAAGAACTTGAACTAGTAAACATAATCTGAAGACGAGCGGTGTAGTTCTAAAAGGATTTCAGTACACTTCATTGTTAATTGAGTGTAGGAAATGGGTGACTTTCAGAAGTTATTGTGTTGAGTGTCTCATAATTCGACACCAGCTTGTGATCTTACAAAATGTTTTATTTTATTATGTATTTTATATTGCATAATCTGTTAGATCAGTGACACTTAAATAAACTATTTTAATCTAAAATTAAACTTTTTTCAGCGTAAAATTGACTCATTAGATAGCTCTGATTCTGAAGAGGATGTAAAACCAACAATTCCACCAGTAACTCCAGATACAGAAAAGAGAAAGAAGAAAAAGAAAAAAGATAAGAATACAGAGGCTGATGTAAATACAACTATAGAAGAAGTGAGTTATTAAATGTGATGTTATATCCTTATCAATTGTAAGCAACTATACTATCATTGTAAGAATTCTGAACTTACTACAGAAGTCTTATTTTGTATTTATAACTCCATAAGTATAGCGTCCAAAAATTGCCTCCAAGAGAGTGAGCATTTTTGGTAAAATCTGAGAAAAATTGTGTAGACACAGGAATCCATAGTCAGGGCAGTTACAAGTGACAATGGGGTAAAATGTAAAAGGATTTCAATCACCAGGACTTCAATGCCCTCCTTTAAGCAGACTACAAGCCTCTGTGCACCCCTTCCATCTACTTGATTAAACCCCTTCTCTTGTAGTGAGGGGGAGGGTCGTCACAAAGGCTTGTAGCTAGGCTATCCTACAGTATAAATTTTTACATTCTATTTTGTTTATTGCAGCCTAAGTCTGATAAAAAGAAAAAGAAGAAAAAGAAACATAAAAAGGAAAAGAAAGAATCCTCAGACGATGACAGTGATTGACACATTGACATTTTAAGTGATTGACAGTTTAATTGATTGACAGTTCACTTGATTGACAGTTCGGTTGATCAACTGTCAATGCAGACATTTTAAAGATATTCCATAAAGAATATAGTAGGGCTCCTACAGAAATATCAAATACAATTACACGGAATTTCACAATACCCTCACAGTCTCAAATAGCTAAAATGGATGAGGAATTTAGGAATGGCAGAAACCGTGTGTCGTTTAGGCAGTTAGGGGATTCCCAGTCAAAATTAATGGGATACGATATTGCATGTATTGTAAAATTGTAATCTAATTTGATTGAAAATATTTTCGATCAGATTTTTTTCTGTTGTTATCCCTGTAAACTTCAGTGATATTGTAAACCGTTTTTAGAAAATTATCGCTAAATGCTTATCCAAAGGTTCTTTTTCATTTTGGGGGAAAGAATGTATTTTACTTTTCAATTTCTTGGAACCCTACATATGCCTTGTTTATTTTACTAAATGCTTCACACGGACTCAGAAACAATTGTGAAGATGAAGAATATCTAAAATATATGAACTTTTCATAAAATCTGTATGTATTGTTGTTTATTATGAAGTGGCATCCTCACTCCTCAAAAATATTGAGTTAATTTGATGTTTAGTTTATTTATTTTGTTGATTTTGGAAATGATGAACATTGAGAAAAACAACATATGCAGAAATTGAACTTAGCCCATTAAATAGTTTCAAATTAGTCCCAAGTTTATACAATATTTCTATTTATTACATATCAATAACCAATCAATCACTGAGCTTGTGCGAGCCATTCATTTATCATATTATGGAAGATATTCTCAAACCAACCATCTACAAAGTGGCAATCCACTAATTTTGCAACACCTCACAATTCTAAGACAATGGGGGATAACCCCATCCATTTATAAAATGGTGACCGACATTAGCTTTAAGTCCATCAGATCTTTTTCAAAATCATCTACAAGTTCTCAGAAGTTCAAATCTGACTTTAGATTTGAGAAATGCCATTTTGAATTTTTTTCTAAAAAGTTTTCTTCAACTGATTATTGTTTGGCATTCAGGATGGAAAGATTACATAGGATACATGTATTGGTGTGTTCTTGTATATGTACAGATATCCGCCGCTGTAAAAATCCAATGACTCACAACCTTGCGTTTCTCATTTTGTTTTATTTGTACCTTCTTATATACATAGGCTATAGCAATAACATTTCAAATAAGACTATTCAAATGGGATCAATCTTATTCCAAGCATATGATAATATACTTATATCGTCTCCTGTAAGAAATACATTCCCAGTAAGAAACTTGTCTATATTTGATAAATGGCCAGGAGCCACGTTCTCGGCAAAGTTATTACGATTCCTTGGCCTATAAAAGAAAGCTAAAATCACAATGTACGTGTCCTCTATCAAATATTGCCTGAGTCATATTTGCCCTGATTCATCGGCCGGCCGGCGCCCGGCCGATTGAGTAATTCGTTCAAAATACTAGAAGATCCATCGACCAGTCGCCGGCCGATGAATCGGAGCAAATGTGACCCAGGCATTAGGCAATATCTATCAAAAGTTCGAACACTTCCAAACATAAAATTAAATCGATCGCGAGGCTAAAGTCAAAAGCTGTGTTTGCTTTTGATTTCACAACAATAAAGACCTTTTTATCGGCATCTTCCATCATGTAGAATTCCCGGAACAATTTACTAAGATCAGTGATGGCTTCGACAACTGCATATCCGATGGCTTGGCCCAAGGAATCTTAAACAAGTAGATCTACACGAGAAAAATAAAACACAGAGTGTACCTTTTTTGTGAAATGTACTTGAATAACCCCTGCCAAAAACCCTCTAACAACTAACTTTTCATTCTTTTTAAAGTGTCCGCCTGAGTTTAAAACTGCGCAAGCGCAGCGTTCTCGCTAACCTATATAAAGAGAATGCCGAGTACACGTTTCAGAGGTAAGCCAGGAAGGTGAAGAATCATCGTCCCTCGTTGATATCCCGTATAATCGTAACCAGGTAAGTTTCACCATTGAAATTAAATATTACTTTTAGATATACTTTGTGGATGTTACTTAGCAAGCTATTTAGTGTATGTATCAATCAAATGGCTCATTTTGAACATATAAAAATATTTGTCTTTTGTTTCCCCGGGAGTTTTTTTCCCATGTACAGTACACACATAAATAGTGTACATTGATGAAGTACTTATTGAATAGGCTGGTATAGTATTACCGTGTTTATATAATATTGAATGGCATGCTGATTGTTCACAAGAGTACATGCATGAAGGCCTAATATTGTACGTAATGCGTATCCATACAGTTTTCATAAAAAATGCTTGATGACAATAACTCGAAAAAATGATGCATTATAACTCAGGGGAGGGTCCAGGGGTAGCCATCCCCCAGAAAATATTTTTGTGAGCTCGTGTGAATCCACAGTGCAGTAGACACATCAACTATATCACATTGTCTCCCGAAGAAAAACCCTCTCAGCCAGGTACTATCCCATTACCTTGAACCTACACTCTGTCCAGGGGTTCAAAAATTCAAATGTAGTTTTATCTAATAATTATAGACCATTTTGCAATAATATTGAAAAATATCTTCATATTACATACGAATGACATTTGTATATTTCACATTATTTAGTTTTTATTGCAATAAGTCTGTGCCCTCTTGTAATTTGAAGTCTATCAGCCATGATATTTTTCAGAAATAACATCAAAAGCATCAAAATATAAGAGGCCACGGATGTTGTAAGCCAATTCATAAGCAATGCAAGTTACACAAATGTCATTTGTATGCAATATGAATATATTTTTCTATATATCATTGTACAATGGTGTCTTGATTTCTTATTTTTGGGGTAAAACAGTTTGCTTTTTTGAACCCCTGGACAGAGTGTAGTCTCCCCATTTTTAGCTAGGTACATGTATGTCCTCACTCCCTCTCTCACTCTTTTTCTTTTTCTTGCGTCATTCTATTATCATTCAAAGCTTGTACCATGATCCACATCCCTGTCAAATAACCATTTTCCAAAGCTAAATACCGGCCTGTATTAGTAATCAACGAATATACTGTATATCAACATTATCCTTCAACACAGAACATCTTTATTACCAAGTTTACAATAGAGGTCTACAATTTACCCTATCGACCTATATACAAACATGATTCATATATATCATGATACAATTGTAGACCTCTTTTGAGGTAAGCTGGCAAAATTGTGTAGCGATACTGTAAGCCTTGAAAGTACTGTTGACTGATACCAGGGGTCGAGGTCAACAGTACTTTCAAGGATTACATAGTTTTCATAGTTCAAATAATATATCAATTGCAATATATGTCTGCTATCACTCTTTCAAAACGAGAACTGGTGACTCCATTGTCAATTACAAAGATTGATCATTTTGTTCAGCAAAGACGCCAGTCGCCACCATAAATATATTCATTCTAAACTTTAGGTGATTGTGCATTTGATTTACATAGCCGTCAACAATACCTTGTAGCGGTCGACATCACATATTGTTAGTACCTCAGTTAAAATACTCAATTTTGATTGGTCAATTAGCGGTCAAAAATATGTACTGTTGACCGCTACTCGGTACTGTTGACCGCTGCTAGGTACTGTTCACCGCTACTTTTGAAAAAAAAAATTATTTTAAAATCAGATTTGATAAAAGAAATTGAAAAAAAATCAAATCATATTCGATGGTTTTTTGCTAATTCTTTTTTCGTTTTTCGGTCAACTGGCAAAAGTGTATACCTCAACTGTAAACCTTGAAACTACTGTCGGCTTCGACCTCCGGTATCAGTCAACAGTACTGTCAAGGTTTACAGTCTCGGTATACAATTTTGCTGGTTGACCTCTGGAGAGGTCAACAATTGTATACTGTTCACTTTTAATAAACCAATCATAATTGAGTATTTCATCCGATATACTTAGTAACAAAACTCATTATTTGTATTTTCAGAATGTCTACGAGCAACAAGAGATTTAAAAGACATATTGAACTGAGCTTCAAGTCCCAAGAGGAAAAGGATAACTTCGACCGCAAATGGACAGTTTTTCGAGACCAGCGTCCCAGCCTGTCAACAAATGTTCAAATCATGTTCTTCTTCCTGTCAATGGCGGAGAGATATTCTCCAAATACAGACAATTCTGAAGATATCAACTTCCACTACAACAGTTTCGTCAGCATCTCCACTGATCAAGCGAAAAATGAACGTATTTTTGGAAGCTGTGAGACGTCCATTGATTCATTGGTAAAGGCAGTTTACAAGATGGGACAAAAATGTCACTTTACGAAGAACACAATAAGTGCGAAATTGGACCAGTTTTCTCATTTTGTCGCAACATTTACAGTTTCCAATGGATCATATTCTTTCTTGTGGAAGTCATCACCTTATATTCGTGGGTGGTCAACATTATTTCTAAATGAAAGGATATCATTTGCAGTAATATCGAGTGGTATACTTTACGATCAGTTTGTTAGATTCATCATTGCAGCCAAACTTGGATACACATACAGAAACTATCTCTGTGATGCCATGTCAAGGATTTCCCCGTTTATTGCCACGGAGGCAGATTTCTGTAAACACAATGCTATACTTGAGAGTGCAGGCATTGGTCAAGATTTGGGAATAACAATGGAGACAGATGCGTGTTATTCCGCATTTAGGAACGCACGTAGAAGCATAACTCTAGGTCTTTGCAATACAACACATAGGGTAATAGCGGAAAAAGTAAAATCCACAAAAAACGATGATTCCTCCATTCAAGTCCACGAGACTCTATCGACCAAGGAAATACTTGGTGATTTCCAAAATATGGAAATACCTATACGCTGTATCGTGCACGACTCAAATAACAGTGTTAGTAAAATTATGCGAGATAACTTTCCTCATGTAAAAGAGCAAAAGGATGTTTGGCATACAATCAAAAATGTTATGACTGGATTTTCAAAAATTTCAAAAGGCACGAAGAAAACTGAAAACATATCGTGGAGTCCACAACTATTCGATAAATATGATGGAGTTAAAAACCACTTCTGGTACTCGATAATGCATTCGGGGAATGATGTGGACATTCTCAGGGACAGCCTCGACGCAATTGTCCTGCACTATCAAGGTGATCATGACAATTGCAGATTGACTTCACCATGCAATAGGAATGCACAATATAGGCCATCTCGTGTATTACTCACTGATTCGGTAGCAAAAAAGCTACTTTCTGATTTTATACACAGTACATCTGTCTATAAAAACCCAGCACTAGTTCTGGAGGGACTAACAACAAGTTACGTCGAAGCCGCTAATAATTCCTTGCGGTCATTTCTACCAAAAAGACAAAGCTTCGGCGACGTAGCATTCCAGGCTCGTGTAAACCTGTTTATTCTCGACTGGAATGAAAACGTAGGGCGTTCCTTTACAAGAAACGACCAAAACACAGGACCCAAACATAACTCAAAGAAAACGTATATGTATTTCGACAAAATATGGCATCGCTACCTGTCGGAACATAAGCTTGGATAATTGATTTCTAAT